TCATGAGATTGAGCCTGCGTCGGGCTCTGCACTCAGCAGTCTGCTTGTCCCTCTCCCTCTGTTCCCGCCCTCCTTTCAAATAAATAAAATCTTAGGAAAAAAAAAACGGCTCTCAATCATTCTGAGGGTGCGTCTTGACGGCTAAGCAAGGCCTATTTGCTGTGCTCCTGCATGCTCAACAAATGCTTGTTTAATGGAAGTGCATTTCCTATAATCAGACACTTCATTTTACTAAATAGATTTGCGTTTAAAATTGTACCACCACCCAAGCTTCCCTTACGTAACCTGTGGCGGACCTGGGCTTCTGCCAGGTAGCGTGGTGTCATGGACAGGTGGCGATGAAGAGGCCTGGGTAAGTGAGCAGCTGTGTGCGGTCTCTGTTAGTCTCTGCACAGCAGAGGACTGATCACCCCAATCTACATTAGAATGTATTGGAAAGTGGGGAAAAGAAACATACAGCCTCATTTTTGCTCTTTAAGAAGTAACTATTGAAATCTTCTTTGTATATCACTTCTTTAAAACATAGTTATCCACAAATTGCTTGAATCTATACACACATAAACACAAAAGAACGGGCCTATTTGGTTTCCACAAGCTATATGGATATTAGGCCATGGTTTTACTGTGTCGTCCCAACTGCCATTGGTGTAGTCCATTAACAAATCTGAGGAAAATCTGAATATTTTAGTATGTCATTTATACGGGTGATAATTTCAGTCTTTCCATTATAATTATCTAGCATTATTCAAGCTTCATGATTATTGTATTGTCTTTAACTAAGATCATGTGGTAGGGTTATTTCTTATAAAATCCTATGTCCTAAGATATCTTTTAACCCCTTAAAGGATGTATCCACTGAGTTCTAATTTGATAGAAATTATGGCATCCCAACCTGTTTTTACATGTATCATGTTTCAAAAAAAGGGGGAAAGGGCCTTTGCATGTACCTGATATCTCACCAAAATTCCCCTTCAGCTTGTCCTGTTCCTGCTGCTGATCATCAAGCAGTAAGTGTAAAACTTGGCAATATTCCCTCTTGTCATAAGCTTTCCAATTATTGAAAATTAAGTAACTCCCAATAGAGGAGAAATCATTAAATATATAGTAAATAATGAGGTTAATTAATTTAACCCCTTCTAATTAGGAAACTAATTAAATCAGAAAATTAAAACTGACACAAGACATTAAAATCGGCAAGTTTTGAACTTAGATGTAACGATCATCTCTTCCGTCTTCAGCCAATTCCAAAGGAGGAAGAGACATTAGCTGCAAAAATATTTATCAGTGGACTATTTTTAACTGATACAAAGCTAAATTTTCCATACCATAAATATTATTTTTAGAGATTACCTTTTTTCTATTTATGTGATATTAAACTTGTTCCTTTTAATTCTTCTGAAGACTGAAATGGAGTGAGTCCAAAAAGATGGACCAACTTCTCCTAGTGACTGTGATAAGTTGCTTAACATCTCTGGGCCTCAGGTTTCTCATCCTCAGAGTGTCCTATTAAAGAAGTGAGATTGATTCACAGTATCTTGGAGATGGAAATAGACCTAAAGAGAAGGGAAGGGAAGGGCTCAGGAAGTTAGAGTCGGGGTATTAAAATCTTGGTCAGTGTGACAGAGAACAGAACCACTGTGAATTTTATGATGACTGCTTCATTGCTGCATTGTAATTGTTACATTGCAAACAAATGTGCAAGATTAAATTCAGGTACATTAAAAAACTATGGTACATGCATTAAATAATGCACATCTATCTACCGACAAGGAAGGACAATTCTTTTTTTTTTTTTTTTTTAAAGATTTTATTTATTTATTTGACAGAGACAGATAGAGAGAGCAGGAACACAAGCAGCGGGAGTGGGAGAGGGAGAGCAGGCTTCCCGCCAAGGAGGGAGCCCGATGTGGGACTCGATCCCAGGACCCTGGGATCATGACCTGAGCCGAAGGCAGACGTTTAACGACTGAGCCACCCAGGCGCCCCGGAAGGACAATTCTTTAAGTGGCAACAGAAGAGTGTGTGTGGTATAATTTTTTTAAGGAGAAACTATATGGGACATCTAGGAGTTCAAGTGTTGCTTCTGGGGATGGGATTTGGGGTAATTTACTCTTTTTCTTGCGTTTTCTAGTTTTTTTCTTAAGATTTTATTTATTTATTTGAGAGAAAGAGAGAGCACGAGAGGAGGGAGGGTCAGAGGGAGAAGCAGACTCCCCGCTGAGCAGAGAGCCCAAAGTGGAACACCATCCTGGAACTCCACGATCATGACCTGAGCCGAAGGCAGATGCTTACCCGACTGAGCCACCCAGGCACCCGTTTTCTAGTTTTTATACATTGAATAGCTAGGTGATTATTGGCGGCAACTGTGCTGTCAGTTGAATGAACCTTTCCCATAAACATCCTTTGGGTTCCCAGGTTCTCCTGCGATAAAACTCTGGCTTGTTTGTTGCGTCTAACTCAAGTATCCCCTTTCATGAGAAAGGTTAAATGTCTACAAACCTGAATGAAAGGTTTACTAAACATTTCTAATACCTAACTTTAAGGGGTGTGTGACTAGCTGAACAGAACAAAATATGAGAACAAGACTGAGAGTGTTGGGGCGCCTGGGTGGCTCAGTTGGTTAAGCGACTGCCTTCGGCTCAGGTCATGATCCTGGAGTCCCGGGATCGAGTCCTGCCTCGGGCTCCCTGCTCGGCGGGGAGCCTGCTTCTCCCTCTGACCCTCCCCCCTCTCATGTGCTCTCTCATTCTCTCTCTCAAATAAATAAATAAAAATCTTTAAAAAAAAAAGACTGAGAGTGTTGTATTCAATATACAGAGATGTATTTTAAAAAGACACTTGTAAATACTTTTCTAAATAATGCCTCAAGTTCCCACCAGTAGGTACAATTTAAGTATTCCCAACTCTACTTTTGCTTTTTCAATCTCACACTTCACTTTTTTTAAGCCCCAGGTTATCTAACTTGCAAAACAGAAAATGTGAAATGTATGACCTTATTTACCAAATTAGCATCAAGCAGTCTGTTTATTCTCTGAAAGTTATCAACAAAATGACCATGCTTTGAGCTTAGTTGGGAGAAGCGAAAAATGTTAATGCTCAGTGTCCTGAGGGTAGTACGTGCATCAAAGTTCAATACAAAGCTTCTGTTTAATGAACAGACGCTGTTACTACCCCTAAACTGGGACATCGCCTCAGTGCTACAAAAATTAATGAGAAATACCTATTTGTCAAAAAATACAGCGGTCTCAGCGTGGTATTTTTCTTCCATTAACTTTGCATATGGACATCTTACAGAAATGAACCTTCCCTGAAAATCATTTTTATGAGTCTTAGTGCTAGTTTAAAAAATGGAACTGCCAACTCAAGTCTTTGGCAGATGGGTATTCTTCATGACTCCAGGATGTCAGCTTGTGACTTCCTCAGAGCATCCACCACCCACGTGAGATCAGATCCCGTCTAAGGGTTTTTATTCTTCGTCCCTGGCAGAGCAGCCGGGTTCGGTGCACTCCCCCGCTTCCTCGCGTGCCGACGCCCGCCTTCCTGCGCACGGGGCGCCATCGCGGGCGCCATCGCGGGCCGGCGCCGCTCCCCGGGCACGACAGGCTGGTACTTCACGGAGCGCGAGTTAAAGCACACCCCTCAGTCCCCTCGTCCGCCTAACTGAGTCCTCTAAGTCCCGGCAGGTAAGTTTGTCCTGCTCAACGCTCCGAGTTCTTTTCCAACCTAAAACACAATACCCATGCGGTACGCTTCTCGTCTTTTAAAGCTACGTGCTCAGTTTGCGTTTCATCAGGGAAGAAATGAGCTAAACACGTTCTGTCACGAATGACAGGGCGAGCTAATTTGGGTTCGGTCTTACGAGGGATCTATTACACCGACATTTTCTTAACCCCGAGCATAAAATGCTGTAGTGATCAACATCAGATACACGGGCCGGGGTTCCGAGGAAGGAGCGCGACCCCTACGCCAACAAGCACTCGTGGCTTTATTTTTCGTCTCAGGAACGCGGGGGCTGCCAAGCACCCAGGGAAGCGGCGAGCCCGCACGCACACGACGCCCGCGAGCCGGCCGCCGCCTCCCGCCCGGTCCTGCCCGTCTTCCCCGCCTCGTCGCCCTCCGTGCCCCCTCCCGCCCCCTCCTCCCCGGCCACTCGGTCCCACCGTCCCGTCCCCCCCGGCCCGAGCGCCTGTCACCGCAGACGGCACCTGCGGACAGAGGCCAGCTCAGGCAGGCCTCCGAAGGGGGCTCCGGAGGTTCCCGGGTCTTTAAAGGACCAACTGCACTAGCACTGAACTGGGAACGCTTATCACTCAGCAGCTGACAGCAGCGGCGGGCGGCCACCTCGGCGTCGGCGTCCTCCGCCCCCGGTCCCCCGCCGCACTGCCCGGGGATCCGCGGCGCCGCCAGGTGACGTCAGGGCGAGGCTACGTTAGGGCGGCGCCGCCAAGGTGACGTCAGAGAGCGCCCGTCCCGGCGGGCCGCCGCCTGGGACTCTGGGGGAGGGGAGCAAGGCCTCCCTCAGCAGGAGGGCGGTGCGGGTGCGACGGGGAGAAGCCCAGCGGCGAGGCCTGCGGCCCTCGGCCAGCCCGTGGCGCTCTCGGTCTGGGACGCTGTCCAGCGCCCGCCCCCCAGTGGCACCCGGCCTCTATCGGCCGCGGGCGCTGAGGCGCTACCTCAGGTCCCGTCGGGCAGCCACCGGCGACGGGAGCTCCGCCGGAGCCCGAGGCCAGCTCGCGCCCCCGCCTCGGCCGGCCGGCCGCAGGCCCCGCCCCTCCGCCGCGCGCCTGCGCCGCTCGGGCGGCCGCGCGTGCTGGTGGGCGGGGCCTCCGCGTTCCCTTCTTTCCCGGGACCGGCCCACTCGGGCCGCGCCGGGGGGGGGGCGCGTTTCTCCGCGTCCCTGGGGCCCCCCTCGCGAGGGAGCGGCGGCCACGGGCTCCGGGTCTGCGGGGCGGGCTGCGCGGCGCCCTTGCCCCCGGGGCCGCGGGCCGCGGCGGAGGCGCGGGGCGGCGCCGGCTGGCAGCCAGCTCCTCGGCGCTCCCCCTCGCTGGCGGCGGGATGGTGCGTCCCGCAGGGCGCGCGCGGCTCCCGCGCTCGGGCCACCCGGCGCGGGCGGGGGCGCAGAGGGAGGGGGAGCGGGCCCGACTCGCAGGACCGGGCCCCGGCCGCGCCGTTGGGGAGCGGGCCCCGCGGGGCGGGGCGGGAGCCGCCGCGGAGCTCTGGCCGCCGCGGCCATGTCGGACCCGGCGCTCAAAGTTCCCGAGGAGATGTTCCGAGAGGTCAAGTACTACGCGGTGGGCGACATCGACCCGCAGGTACCGCGCCGCCCCCGCCCGCCGCCCGCCGCCCTCCGCCCTCCGCGTTCCCGGCCCGTCCCCGCTCCCGCCGCGGGCGCGCGCCTGGGCGCAAAACGCAGGGACCCCGCCGCCCGGGCCCCGCCGGCCCCGCCGGCCTGCCTGTGCGGAGGCTGGGCCACCCGGCGCCGAGCAGGCCTGGGGACGGGGGGCGGGGGCTGCGGGACCCGTGGTACCAGGGAGAGGGGACCTGGAGCGGGGACCTGGCGGGTGGTCTGCGGGACCTTCTGGAGGGAGAGGCAGGGGGCCTGGGGGTGGGGGTTCTGCGGGATCTGCGGCCGGCGGGAAGCAGAGGAGAGGGAGGGGACATGGGGGTGGTCTTTGGGACCCGCGGCCCGGAGGCTGGAGGGCAGGGGGTCTTCGGGAACCACGATTAGGGGGAGCATGAGGGGAGGGACGGAGATCTGGGTCGTGCTCTGCTGGGACCATCAGCGGGCAGGGCACCTGGAAGGTGAGCTCAGGGAGGGGATGACGTGCAGAGGAGGCTACTTTCTGACCAGAGAGGAGGGGAGGGCATGGGGGGGGCATACTTCGGGCCTAGCACGGATTGTCACCGGCCTCCGCCTGGTGGGGGACCGGCGTCCTGTCGCATGTGCTAAGTCCCCCAAGCCTGCCACCTCAGCCAACTGCTACTTTGCCTCTTTCTGGGGCAGATTCGGACTGGGAGCATCCTTCTTGCTGCCCACCCCGTGTGCCTGGGTTCCGAGAGCAGACAGGGTGAAGCGGATGGAGCTCAACTAGGAACCCCAGGTCCAGGCTGCTGGGGCTTAAGTGAACCGCCCCTGGTGTGGCCAGCCACCGGGGCTCCCACGGCTGGGCTGTGCAGCCTCAGTCGTGTGCAAAGCGGTCAGTTTGCCACCCGCGAATTCCCATTCTTTGATTTTCCTAATTGGGGGGATTAAACAGTAAATGTGGAAAATACCCAGGTAGCACCATCACTGTAAACATTTAACAGGCTCACGCCAAAGGATATTGTGTTTTTTGGTAAGTTTAAATAATACTTCTGTTTAAACATCAGAGTGTTACTCTTCCGCCGTGGAAGCAAATCTTAGTTGAGTATCTTTTTCAGGTCAATCCTCACAGTATTCCCTTTATTAAAGTTTGTGCAGTTAAAGTTACCTGGGGTGTCTCCTTTGCTTCGAGCGCTAAGCGTGGAGGCGAGGGAAAGCAAAGCCAGGTGATCAGACTTTAGTCCTCAAGAGTGGAGACAGGTGTTTAACCAATAATCTTGGTTGCCCTGGAAGGAATTATGGAAGGCTGATTGGTCTTGGCCTTCTAGAGGCTGGTCTGTTAGTATCTTAGTAAGCTAAACTAACTCCCTTGCATGACTCCCAAGGTGGATCCTTTTTCTACTGTAACTATAGGGTGAAGAGATTGAGCCTTGAATCTAAAGATACACAGGTGTTGAACCCAGAGTGATCACGATGACTGCCTGTAACAGTGGCAGCTTTTTCCAGTATTGATAATTTTCCTGTCTTTCACTATCCATCCTTCTCCCCCACCTCCTTCCTACACTCTTTATTTCGTTTTAGGACTTTGGCTCTTATGAGGGACTTGAACCAAATGTTACTTAAAACCTGGAACAAGTTGAATTGAAACCATATTTGCTCAACTATGAGTCAAATTTAAGTGCTTAAAAATGTCCTTGGCAAACCACTTTGATGTGAAACAGTATATTTTCTAAACGATTTAGCGCCAGAAAATTGATTCCCTGAATCTTGTAAAAATGGATTCAGAAAGTTCACGTATATTGAACACCTTGTACCTGTTAAGATGTTGGCCTAGATGGCGGATGTAATCTGAAGATAAATGGAACCTGATGCCTCTCCTTGAGGTTCCCTCACTGCTGAGGGGCGGGGAGCACACCTGAAGACATTATGGTATAGGGTGGTGCGGCAAGGACAGATTTTTCTGCTGGGGTGCCTAGGAAGAGGCACCACTGAACTTTTTGAAGGTAGGTGTCTTCTCAGTGGGGTGTTGAGCTATACACAGAAGTTAAGAAGAGGGTGAGGTGATGTCCTTTTTGTGGAATGTATGTGCTGAGGAACGGAGGCGTTGATCTATTTGGGATACACCGGGACGACCAGTACACCTGGTGCAGAGTGACGTGAGTTAAATCTGGTCAGATTCAGTAGTGTGGAGACTGGAAAGATGCCTGTGGTTTGGGGATCTTTCAGTCCATGAGAAATCAGTATTTCAGTAGAGTTGTAGAAAAGGCAGGCGACAGTGGGTGAAGAGTGAGCAGGAAGTGAGGAAGTGAAGACAGGTTGGTCTGTTGTTCCAAGCGATTTGTCAGCAAGAGGAAGCCGAGTAGGGGCCTGGATGTGTGTGAGCGCGTGTGAGGACCAGTGAGAACTTCATTCTTCGTGGGTGGAAGGGGAGAGATTGAAATCTCAAGACTCCTAAAAAAGGCAATATGGTTGGAAATGCAGACTGGAGGATAGATAAAAGGAGGGTGCCATATTCTGTGGGTCAAGTTGAGTGAATGTGGAAACTAAAGATGCTTGGAGGTGACGGGAGGAAAGTGGAGGTGACCTGTGGCTACAAACCACTGTTTCTTTTCATTTAGAACAAATACTTAGCATTGGCTCCAGTTGCCATCTCTGGGTGGTCAGTAAAATATTCTGAAAAAATTTACCCAACTTGTGGGAAAATTGAGCTATGTAGGCATCAGGTCACCTTCATATGTGGTGCACACCTGGGCTCTTCAGGCTCTACCCTCACCTCCACCTGTCTCTGAAGTCTCTGGCAGGTGAGTAGCCTCCGGTTCACTCACCTCTGCACCTGGGGACCCCACTCTCAGAACTTTGGCCACCATTGACTCCCCATCTGGTGGGGGCCCACGTCTTCCAGGTACCAGTGAAGTCTTTTGCTAGACTTTCCACATGGCATCAGAAGGATGTGCCCTAAACTGAAGTACTTTTCTTGCCTCCCCACCGCTGCACTCATAACCTGTTTCTCCGTGAATGCTACTGCTGTGTCCCCAGCACTTTGTCTCTTGCACTCCTACCCTTTCCAGGCACCGAGCCTTGTGCATTCTCACTTCTTTCTTCCTCCTTTCCCTAGTGACAGTCCTTGGTTCAGTTACCTGCTGCTTTCCCCTGGACTACTGCCGTTGTCTCAAACTCAGTCCATTCTTTTTGCACGGACCGTAATCTTTCGATAAAATCTGGTCATGCCATTTCCCTGCTTAAAACACTTGCGTCGTTCCAGAAGACACTTCTGTATGAGAATAAATTGCAAACAGTTTTGCATAGCACGTGACAGTCTGACCCTGTCACCTGTCCAGTGTGTGAATGCTGCTGTCTCCCCGCTGTATGTATTTTTGTCTCGCTAACTCCTTAAGTTCATCAAGATTCTGCTCATGTAGCTCCTCTTCTAGAAACTTTACCATTTGTGGTGAAACTACCTGGCCCTAAGCCTTGAAGTTTGAGCCTGGGCACCCAGTCTCAGCCCTGAAACGTTGTCTGTCAGACCTTCTGTTTTCAAGACAGAGACACTACCTAGTACCTGGCTCACAGCCTCCATGCTTCCTTGGTCATTGGATCAGGATCTGCTGCTTTCTACTGTCCTCAAATGTTTGATGGCATATGACTCGGAGTAAAAGGTTATTAATTCTGTGTGGTGAACATGGTGTGTTTTTATTAGAATTTCCATTGGTCACAACAATTTGTGTAAAACAAGAATGAAATGCGGTGTTTTTCATTTTAATTTGTGTGGTTTTTTGAAGGTTATCCAGCTTCTCAAAGCTGGGAAAGCTAAGGAAGTGTCCTACAACGCACTAGCCTCACACATAATTTCGGAAGACGGGGACAATCCTGAGGTTGGAGAAGCTCGGGAAGTCTTTGATTTACCTGTAGTTAAGGTTAGTAGTAAGTCTCATTAATTTTATACACTTCATCATGTGTCTTGAGATCAATACAAAGTCTTACTGTAACTCAGAGTGTTTGCCGAAATACTGCTTTGTATGGGAAGCAGCGTGAAGCCCGTTGTGTTAAATCATGCTGTGGCCAGGTTTCTGTACATTACAGGTAACTCTTGATGGGTCCGCTCATGCACCTGCGGTGGTGTGGCCCGGGTTCCTCTCTGCCCAGAGCTCTCTACGCCAGGGACGTGTCCTGGAAATGGGTGTGTCAGCCTACAGCGATGGGCAGCGGGGATTCATGAGCAAGTGTGCTCTCTCCCAGGCAGGCAGAGTCCTGTCAGGATATGGCCCCTGGAGGGACCACTTTCCATCCCCACTGTGGCAAGTGGTCTTAATTTCCAGCTAGACACATTGGAGGGAGTCCTGCCTGCCATTTGCTGTGCTGTTTAACTGCTCTCCAACAGTGGTCACCGTGACTGTTTCTCCCACTGTCCACCCGGTGGCCATTATTGGTACTGTCTAGCTGACTCGGGGTGGTTGGTTCTAGAAAGTGGGGGGCCTCACCTCATGGGTGACTTGTTCAGTTTGTTGATCTACACACTGTGCTGTTCTCTTGCTGCTTGTAGTTGAGTTGACTGATGTTAAATGCATGTTTTGAAATGTAATTTTGTAGTTTTGGTCCTTCAGTTTTTTTTTTTAATCGTAGCTGTTATATGTTTGTTTTAAAATAGTTCAGTTCCACCACCACTCTTTTCTTTATGCTATCAAATACTTTGCCTAAAAATCAGTATGAAAATTATTATGGTTTAATAACAAGAGAGGCTAGCAGTTAGGAAAGATTGCCAGTAGTTAGACTGGGGTGCCGAGAAGCTGGCTGGCTGCTGGGAAGTCTGCACCTCATCAGTACCCAGGTCTGAAGCTGCCTTGCAGGCTTAGGAACCTGATTTTTGAAAATAAACCTGAAAGCAGATCTGTCTCATGAGAAGGTTCTCAGAAACCAGACTCTCCAGAGATGGCATGTCAGTCAGAGTGACTATTAATTTACAGCAGTGACACGCGGTGGTCACGATCCTGCCCTGGACTCCTTGTTTCGGCATGGCCGGCTCCCTCGTGAAGCCGGAACATCGGCAGGTTTCCTGCTCGATTAACCTGACCCCACTTGGTGAGAGAGACAGGCTTGTGACCGGCGCGCTTGCCTCCCTGGGACCCTGCTTTTGTCTCTGGTTTGCTTCCATTCTTCCTTAGCTGTGAGGACGGTATCTCCGCTCCCTCAGCAGCCTGGAGCCCCTTGTCTCAGGACGGTGACTTCCCCTAGATTGTGCGGGTTGCTGCGTGAACCTGAAAAGGGCAGCCTTAGTAACCAGTGTTGGGGACTAAGGTCATTGTTGCCAGACCATTTAGAGCAGTGGTGCTTAGATCTCGTGACGCTCCAGTCCCTTTTCGCAGCAAGCGCTTTGTAATACCCCCTCTACTATCCCTTTGTTTATATGTAGGAGGATATTACGTAATTTAAAACCTATGTGTACACATTATGTATAAATTGCCCAACATGCCCTGAAATGTAAAGGAGAAAAAAAGGAAAATAAATGTGTATTTCAGTGTATAAATCCTTGGGCCCAAGTCCATGGAGGATGGGGTAAGGAGGTGAGCTGCTGGGACTGGTCCGATGTGAAGGGACTGCCACAGATGTGGGCTGATCGCCCGAGCTCGAGGGTGAGGGAACCAGCTGGGAGGTAACATTTCAGAATGGTGATCTGTCCTTGCTAGAAGGCCAAGCTCAAAAAGCAGTCTTCTTCATTTTACGTGTTGTATTTCTGGAAAAGTCAGGCTGTAGTAAGGCTGTGTAAAATACCTATTACCCAGCTTCTATAATGACCACCATTTCGCCAGGCTAGCTGGATAGACCCCCATCCTGCTCTTCCCCTTTGGCTGTGGTAGCATCGAAGGAGGCCCCAGGCACCCTCATCTTTCGTCCGCTCCGCAGCTCCAGGCTGCTTGTGGTTTGTGGCAGCGCTCGTTCTGTCCAGGGACTGCAGTGCCCCAGGACAGGATGATGGAACCTGTCAGAGCTGACCCAGCAGTTGGTGTGCACCCCACGATGATGCTGTCAGACCCTCAAGTTCTTAGTCTGAGTTCAGCTGGTGGAGGCAGAGACCCAGTTCCATAAGCACAGATCCTTGGCCTTTGACTTACTAAATTTGTCAAGTGGATTTTATTATTACTATTTCTTAATTTTTTTAAAAGATTTTATTTATTTATTTGACAGAGAGAGACATAGCGAGAGGGGGACCATAAGCAGGGGGAGTGGGAGAGGGAGAAGCAGGCTTCCCGCCGAGCAGGGACCTGGGGCGGGGCTTGATCCCAGGAGCCTGGGACCACGACCTTAGCCAAAGGCAGACGCCCAGCGACTGAGCCACCCAGGTGCCCCGACAAGTGCATTTTAAAAATAAGGCATCCTACTGCTTCTCCCTCTCCCACTCCCCCTCCTTGTGTTTCCTCTCTCGCTGTGTCTCTCTCTGTCAAATAAATAAAATCTTTAAAAAAAATAAAATAAAAAATAAAAATAAATAAAAATAAGGCATTCTATAAAGATGTGGTATATATATACAATGGAATATTATGCAGCCATCAAAAGGAATGAGATCTTGCCATTTGCAACGACGTGGATGGAACTGGAGAGTATTATGTTGAGCGAAATAAGTCAAACAGAGAAAGACATGTATCATATGACCTCACTGATATGAGGAATTCTTAATCGCAGGAAACAAACAGGGTTGCTGGAGTGGGGTGGGAGGGATGGGGTGACTGGGTGATAGACACTGGGGAGGGTATGTACTCTGGTAAGCGCTGTGAATTGTGCAAGACTGTTAAATCTCAGATCTGTACCTCTGAAACTAATGCAATATATGTTAAGGGAAAAAAAAGAAGAAGAAGGTAGCAGGAGGGGAAGAATGAAGTGGGGGAAATCGGAGGGGTAGACAAACCATGAGAGACGATGGACTCTGAAAAACAAACAGGGTTCTAGAGGGGAGGGGGGTGGGAGGATGGGTTAGCCTGGTAATGGGTATTGAGGAGGGCACATTCTGCATGGAGCACTGGGTGTTATGCACAAACAATGAATCATGGAACACTTCATCTAAAACTAATGATGTAATGTATGGGGATTAACATAAGAATAAAAAAATAAGGCATCCTAATGCACAGAGACAGTTTATCATTTTCATATTTGAATTGTATACATGTTTAAAACTTGCATCTTTAGGCACAAAACTTACAGAATAATTGTTTTAATGGAAATCTTTCTCAGTGGCCTTAGGGCATCATTGGAAATGCTAATTATGCTGACTTAGAGTAGGCTTATTTTTATATATTGTCATTGGCCTTTGGGATAAATAACTCCTTGTTACTATGCTTTTCTAGTTCTCCATTTCTGCTTTATTATTATTGGTGTGTCTTACTGACTTGGCATTGTTTTATCTAGACTCCTGTAAGTGAGGGTCTGAGGATGGGTCTGCTCTGCATGGACATTATGACTAGCCCTAAATCCTTAAATGAAGATACCTATACTTGCCTCCTCCCCCAAGTTCTCAAAGGGACACTCCCCAGGGTGTGTGCTGCATGAGAGTTGGAAGGGGTACCTTTCCAGAGTGTCTGCTTCCGTGGTCACACTCCTCTGCTCAAAGGCACCTCTCCCAGTGCCCTCAAGAAAAGTTGCACCTTCACCTGCCCAAATCCTATCACAGTGCATCACCCCTAGGCTTTGAAAATCCTCCTGCACTCTAGACGAAGGGATTAGTAAAGCAGCCTGGTGCTAAGCCATGCAGCCAAGGATCTCCATGGGGCTCTGGGTGTTCCTGTGGAGAATAAAGCTCGCCCACGGGATGATGTTGACTGTAGACGAGTCAGAGCCAGTAACGGTTCCTCACGCTGGCCAGCCCCCTTGGATTAACTGAGGTTTGCCCAGGATTATCAAAAAATGTGAAGACACATTGCTGGAATGCATGAATAGAAACATGAAGTGCTGTCTTTCATTGTGGTGCACTTAATCCAGTTAAGTTAGTGTGCTTGGCAAGATCACCAAATCATCGTGAAATAATGATCCCAAGTACGACCAGTCTTTATTTAATTTTTTTATATATCCAGTATTCTACACCCTCTTCACAGAAGACACTCTGTTATAAACTGAGGCTGAAACATTGTTGATGTCACCTGAAAAACGAGGGGATTTGGTTTTCTAAAGTCCTTTTAAGGTCTGCATGACTAGACTGGAAGGTCAGTGAAGATCAGGGGCCTGGACTACGAGGTGCAGGAGAGCAGAGAGTGCATTTCCCTCTTTGGTGGTTCCGTTTGCAGTGCCTGGCACCGTCTCTGGTACAAAATAAATTCTTGATAAATACTTGATGAATAAATTGATGCATAAACAGTAAGCACGTATGTACATTTCAGTGGGTTGAAGTTTCTGGACTTTTCAGCTGGCTAAATGGGATATTATGTAGTTGAATGTAACTTTAAAAATTAAATGTAGAAATGTAAGATAATTTTTAAAAAATATAAATTACCTCAAAAGGTGGTAATTAAGCTAAGGTTTTATAATTAATCTGAATTTTGGAATTTGAGGTACTTTTCATGGTTTGCAAATGTTTTGTCTATTGGGGTTTACTGAAAACACTCATGAATTTACACTTGGTTGGATTCAGGATTGAAGACAGGATGTTCCTGGGATGGGGAGGGGGTGGGGATGACTGTCGGGTCCCTGTCCTTACAGTTGTGAGGACAGTGTTTCCAGCTGGCCTAGACGCTCACGCTGTAGTAAGTGTGTACACCTAGAATTTAAATTTTTATAGGTAATAATTTTTAAAATATCTGATGGTGCTTCATTCTATAATTGAGCTTTTCACCTTGGGCATTAATAACTAATCTTTGATATTTTTTACTACTTGAATACTCATGATCTGGGTGCTTTGTAATCTATTATAACAGAGCTTTTAATTTCTACGAGCAATGCTGATAAAAAAATGTCATTTTGATTATAAATTGAAAATATTTTTTCATTTGAGTTCATATTTTCTTTTTCAGCCATCTTGGGTGATTTTGTCCGTACAGTGTGGAGCTCTTCTGCCGTATCCTTTTTGGGGAAGGGAGGAGGGAATCTGGGTTTAAGACTGACACGGTAACCAAGTGGATTCATTAGTTAGGACAGTTTGTGTGTGTGCATTCTCTGTCCCTCCTGTTTTCCATTTTGTATCAGATTTGATGTACTTGATCCTTGTCATCACCCCTGGGGGGAGGGGCACCAGCTGTGGGGGAGCATCTCTGGGCTGGAACTTGGGGGCACGAGCCCTAGTTCTGGGACTGGGCTTTATGATCTCAGGCAGTTCGCTTCTCTGGACCTCAGTTTTCTTGTCTCTGGAATAGACCCATTTTTTTGATGTCCCAGTTAGGTGGAATATTTCTAAAATTGTAAGTCTACCTGAACCAAATCATGAGTTACTTGAAGAATAGATAGGGGAAGAGAACAGCAGAACATTTTTAGTTTCATGTATTGTTACTTACGACTACCTTGGATTAAAGGTTTGTTTAACAGATGTTGACACCTGCTGTGGGCTGGGTACCCAAACCAGAGGGGTCACAGAGATTTCTTTGCTGCCCTCAAGGAGCGCCCTTGCTCCCCCCATGCCCGGGTCCCTCGCCTCACTTCTTGAGTGTGGCTCGGTGCACAGTGCTCCCCGCCTTGTGTGAGCTGTCAGGCTGCGGTTAGTGCCCGGAGCCTCCCGGCTTCCCTCTCCCTCTGCCAGCGTCAGGCTGCGCTGGAGAGTCCTCCACGCATAACCTGCTTGTGGAAGTCACTTCTCGTGAGGGGACCTGGTGCCACACCGTGGTGTTAAAATTGCAGCCTCCGGCAGAGATGATGTCCTTCCTCTGTTTTGTTTTGCCCCTGTGCCAGGCAGTTCCTGTGAAGGCATTTTTACTTACTGGACTGATGGAGATGGAGGGAATCTTTTTATATTAAGTATTTATAGGTGGGCTCAAACAAACAGAAAACATCCCTTTGTAAGCAGTTCTTGGAGGACGTGCAGAACTCAGCATCTCCAACTCAAAAGTTCTAAGATGCCTCATAATTTGAAGAGTTAAAGGAAATCCGTCCCTGTTTTGTTTTAGTTTTCGTTCTTTTGGTTTCTTGGGAGTTGTAGTCTTTATAAGCCCAGGGTGGAAAAAGCCTGGGAGAGAGAGGGGTAATTTTGAAGATGAGAGGTTAGTTCTTCCTGCTCTGGATCATTTATTCTCCGTACAAGATGCCTTAAGAAGCTGTCACTCCCCTGGCGTTCATATTCGCCTGTTCCAGAGCAGCTTGAAGGGACATAAAGGGAAGCCTGCAGACTGTTGGACAACACTAGATTTGCCTTTGTTCATGTTTCCCCAGGTCTTTGGAAGTAGAAAGTCCTTGAGGTAAAGGTAGGAGGATGGAAACTGATCAGGGATAGCGGGCCTGAGGGCATGATGATGGGTCTGCAGAGCGTATTGCAGTCAGACAGGCTCCCGCCTTTCTGAGGTTTCTCAGCAGGGCTGTGTAAGAGATTCCCAGATGGCAGTGGAATTTTCAGTCTGATCTGTTTTTCTTAATTCACTTATCTCAGTGGGTATACTTTTCTCCTGTAGGGAGAACAAAGTCATACTTTAACCCATTTTGAATTGTAGACACTCCAAATTCTTCAAAAAGTCATTGTGTTTGAGTAGAGTGCAGGCACCTAGAGGTCATTTCTGCTTGTGTAGACACATATGCCCGGTGTCTGGCACACAGTAAGCTCTCTCAAGTGAATTTTATCCTGAATGAATTTTAAAAATCAGAAAACTGAAGCTCAGAGTTGGTCTTGCCTACATTCATGAAGTTAGTGGTAATAAGACTGGAACGCAGGTTCTTTTATGAAAGATTCTCTGCCAAACCACAGAAGTTCCATTAATGTTTCCTTCTAAAATAAACCCGAGACTTTTCATCTGCATTTAAAATAATGGCTGTGCCGTATGTGTGTATAAATAGGTGTCCATGTGCGTTTGTGTGTGTGTGTGTGTGTGTGTGTAGGGAGCTAGCTCTCAGAGGTCAGAGGTTTTCCCCGTGAGTGTGCTGTGCCCAGGTTATTGAAACGACGTCCTTGGAGATGCTGGATCAGAAAGTGTGCTTCACACCCCTCCCCGTTCTTTCTGTGCTGTCCGCTGCCCCTTCCTCCTCCAGTCTGCCCCGTCTCCCTCTGGTCAGCCTGCCTCTTTCCCGCGTGGTTCCAGTGGGAGGGAGAGGGTGGGTCACGTCCACATGGGCAAAGAGGATGTCTTAGTGAAATGCAGGTTGCACTAATCTCATTTGATTGGAATCTTAATAACTTTCAAACAGAGTAAATGGTTTTTCTCCAGAGTCATGTCAGATTTTTTTTGGAATCACTGCCTGCCTCTCCCAGGTAAGCATGGTTATAAGCTGTCTGGTGGTGCTCACACGTAACAGTTCTGCGCTTTTAGAACATTGGGTTTATGGCCTGTTGGTAAACCAGTTTTAAAGAAGCTCTTTACTAAACTGCATATTTGGTGTGACCTTATGACACATTTATGATTATTTAAATATTCATGTTTAGTCTTAAGATACAAAGTTTTAACGGGTGAAAATGGTCTTTCTAATCTAAAGGGGTACAAAGATACAGAATTTGAATATGAAAAACTAGTAAAAATGAAATTAAGATGACAAGAAAAATTCAGTCATAAAGGCAAAGAATTATTTTAATAAAGGGCTCATTTAGATCAATAAGAAAAATAAAACGCAGTAGATAAGGCAGAGAAATGAACTCACAACTTTCTATAAAGAGGAATTACAAAACAAGTGTGACAGAACATTGGACACACTTTATTATCCAAGATGTGAACATTTTCACAGCGCTGAGACGAGCCTTTCCACTCGAGCTTGTGACCGAGCGTCCGGCGCTGACGGCCCCCGCAGACATGCTCCCCTCCCTGCCGGCGCGAGCGCAGGTCCGTGCGGCTGTTGTCTACAAAAGTTGCTGAATCAAGGGCCCTAAGATACTCCTTTTCTTTTCCCCTGCAGTTCTCTTATGTTTAGAAAGTTATCCCGAACTGGTAGAAATAAGGGTAGATTGATGGATAAAGGTGTTTAGCAGAGCATTATGTAGACTAGGGTAAAATTGGAAAAAAACAAATCAGATCCTCCTGTGTTTGGAAATGATTCAGAAACCTCTTCTGTGCACTTACATGATAGCCTAACTATGGAGCCAGGTTTGAATTCTGCTCTTTGAAAATATGGAAAGAGATGGGAAAGGCTTTCAGTGGGGAAAGAGGCAGGTCATTAACAGCGTGTGCAGTGTTAAGAGTAACCAAGTAAAATAGAGGAGAAATAGCCGAAAGGGGGGACCAAAATGTCAGCAGTGGGGATTCTAAGTAGTGGGAAAGTGAATAGTCAGTATTTTTAAGTTGTATTTGTCTCCTGCACCGCCAGCTAGTAAACCCTCAAACTATAAAAGACCATTATAACAGATCCCGCGGGTGTTGTTTGAACTCAGTTGGAAATTGCACAGGGCAGTGTGTTGAGCATGAGGACGGGAAAAGGTGCGTTGACAGTGCTGCCTTGCGGACCCGCTCCCACGGTGACCCTGGCGAGGAGCAGCGTGGCCCCGTCCCTGTGGCAGCCTTGAGGAAAGGGTGTGTGGGGGGCGTTGGGTGAGCTGGGAGTCCTGTCCCTGTGACGGGGAGTCATGGAGCCAGGTGACGCGCTCTCCCAGTGGCCGCCTCGTCTCCCCTCCACCCCTCCTCCCTTCCCTGACTACACAGCAGGCAGGCTCAGAGAGGGCTACTTTGTATCTCTTGTGGATTCCTGAACTTCTTTAAAGTTATAAAATTCTTTTTGTTTTTGTTTCATTCATTTAATAGGGACCCTTGAAATCTTAGCTTTTTTTTTGTCTTTTAAGAACAGGAATTCTGTTGATACTTGTATTTTTCACTGTTTTTCACATCTGTGCTATAAATGTATATAATGATAATGATCTTTGAAGTGGGCCAAAATGGAAACCTTTTAATGATGGGTTCTGTGGCTCTGTATGACTTTTATTCCCTTATACTTCTCTGTATGTTCCGAACGTACAATAAATATCAGAAAAGTTTTAAAAATGAAGACATTATTATTATTCCTTAATGTATAAACACATCTATTTTGGCTAAAATGTGAGTTTTGCATTTAATTATATTTTCATTTATTGGATTTGTGGGTTCAGAGATATGGAGCCCACTATCCAGAGGGTTCAGGTTGAATGAGAGAAAGAGGAAGAAGCTGGGGTAGGGAGTCCCGAGGTATTTTCAGGAACTGAGGTGACAGTGACACGGTGTTTGGAGACCTGACTTGGGGAAATAAGAAAATCAGAAATATGTGCGTGTAAGATGATTTCAGGGTTCTAAATTTGGTAATCAGACATCCTTAAATATTAACTGAATTTAGCATTAGAGAACACTTTTAGTCTTAGAAAAAGCCAATAATTTGACAAAGGTTGTAATAAATGTACCAGATTATTATTTGTAAATGCTCGAGTCTCTGCCATCATTATTACTATGTCAGGCTTATGGTACACACACCACCTGCTGGGCTAAATCCCGTGGTCCCGACGTCAGTGTGTGAGTTCACAAGAACAGGCCCGAGTGTGGACGGCAGAGGCAGGGAAGCCTGTGGGGAGGGGAGAGGTCAGACCTGCGGGGCCTGAAAGAGTGGGCAGAATTAGAGCAAAAATGGGGAAGGCGGGGTGTGTTTGTGGTAGAGCCACGTGGAAGGAGAGGAGGAGGGCGCCGGGGAACAAAACATGCTCTCGAGATGCAGGGGGGTGGATGGTGGGGAGCACAGGAACTGAAACCAGGTGTTGGAGTTTGAGCTCCCTGAAGTAGCTGGTAGGGTGCTGCTTTCCTTTTTTCTCACAATTTACATTAGGACATTAGAAAACACAGGAAAGCAAACATTTAAAATCCTTGCAGTCCCTTAGGTGCAACCCGCCTGGGAGCAGTAGCAGGACGGGGGCGGGGCGGGGACGGGAGTTAGGGCCGTAGGGAGGGGCGTGGTCTTGGACTCGAGGCAGAGGTTTGGATTTGGGATGGCGCTGTGCACACAAGGCCCAGACAGGAAGCAGCCGGACTTGGTGACTTGGGCACACTCGGGACGAAGGAGGAGAAGGCAGCGCCCACAGTGCTGCTCTGCACCAAGTCCTGCAGAAGCTGCCTCCACGGTAGTGAATCACGAGTCCTGGGCGATGTCCTCCATCAGAGCAGGAGCCTGGGGGAAATGCTAGCTAGCATCACTCCTGGAGATGGGAAACGGGAGCCTGGCTTCTCAGGAAAGATGGTGAAGTCAGTTTGAAACACGTTGAGTTTGGGGTGTTGATCAGCTACCCAGATGGGGGGCCGTGGAGATGCGGCACGAAGGGCAGAGAATTAGCTTCTTGTAGAAGAGGGTAGAAAGGCACATAACCAGGAAGAGAGTCTTGGGTTGCGTGCAGTGAAGATTTGGGAAGAAGAGAGACTTGAGCATAAATAGAGGTGGTGCTGGAGGAGTAGGGTATTGTTTTTCGAAATCAAGGATGAAATCAGATGCAACTAGTTTTTATTGCTGGAAAGGAGCAGCACCCCAGGTAAAGGTCTGGAGCACTACTTTGTGGCAGGTAGTTGTGCATAGCTTCGTGTGTCCCCTCAGTCCTGCCTGTGACCTGGGAGAGGAGGAGGGCAAGGGTGCTGGACAGGGACACAGGACTGCCGATTGGCCTGGGGGCCATCATGCCGCCTTAGGGGTCCATGTGGATCTCAGGTTCTGGGCTGAGCAGACGCAAGTGTAGTCAGCAGAGGGGTGGGGAGGGGGAGAATGGAGAGCCCGTGGAAAAGGTACCAACTAGGTGGTAGAGAGCACAGGCAGAGGTGAGCAGGCGTCCCTTGGTCGTGTGGTCTGGGAAGTGGCCCAGCCTGTAGTTTTATGTAGGTGCGAAACTCACTGTGGGCGATGGCTGGGTCCATGGTGGACAGAAAAATTAATTTACAAGGACCTTTGACAGTGTCTTTATATCCTTTTAGCAAATTCATTAGGTAATAAAAACTGGAATCCAGAATCAGAATGGTCTTTATGGATCACTTAGTACACCGTTCATCACTGAGGATGATGAACTGGAATCCTGAATGTGTCATGGGATCACATAATAAAAAGCTGTGCTTTTGAGTTCATGAAGATTGATCAGATAAGGATGGACAAGATTTTACTTGATAGTTTTTCATGTGCCCAAACCCTGGTTAGGAAAAGTGCACTGGGGACACTAATATTTTGTGGTTGCTAAAAAGTATTAATGTCAGTTTTAAGATGTGTTAACAGACAACATGCACAGTGTGCGTGCAGCGAAGGGACTTCGGTGTGACAGATACCTAATGAGCACTTCTTTCGTGACAGGAGCAATGCCCAGGGGTACAAATCAATTTAGATAGGCTGTCTTCCCCTCAGTAAACGTACATTCTGGAAGGGGAGACAGACCCATGAATAAAGTGCACGTTGTAGTGCACACAGAGGTGAAGGAGGGTGTGAGGAGGGAGCCATCGGATGGTTGATCTGCACCAGGTGGCGGCTCTTTGGGTGTCTGTACCTTTTCCTGAACACCGGAGCACTTGCATGTGCACACATGCGCACGCCAGGCAGGACCCCGCCCTGACGAGAGGACTGCTGCTTGGTGGCTCTCAGCGGCCTTCTGTCTTTTCCCCGTCAGGGTGTTGATGCAAGCTGGAGCTCTGTTGGAGTCTTCCAGAGCTCTCCCAGGGAGAGGTAGGGAAGGGAGCTTGTGCCAGGGGGAGCTGAGCAGCACAGACACCATCTGCCTTCTCCTGACCCGGTATTGATGCAGGCGGGGGCCTCGTTGTAACACGCTGGGTAGGTTTCCGGGGATAGGTCAAGAGTCTGATGGAGAGCCTGGCCAGGTTGTAATTTAAATCTTGAAGAATAAAAGGAAAAGCCCTTTCCATTCCGTATCTCAATCGACAAGTATTTCTTGACTGCCTACCCATGTGCCTTGCACTGTGCTAGGTACTGTGAGCGAGACCCCCATCTTTAATCAGGACGGCTGTAGTTTCTAATCAGGGTGGGACAAGGACATACTCGGGGTGGGGGCTAGAACCAAGGAGCGTCCTACTTGTGTGAGACCTCCCGAGAAGGGCGGCTGTTCCTGATCACTGTGAAGGAAGCTCTTACTCAGTGCGGGCCGTGGCTGAGATGACCGTCCTCTGCTCCATGTTCTTCGAGGAGAGCGGAGTGGGGACAGTCAGCCTGCAGTTCACTGGAGCGTGACCGGCCCGTAGATGCCTGTGTAGCTTGCTGTGGGAGTCCAGGGGCAATGGTAGGGGAGCGGGAGTCGAGGGTGGGTAAGGCGTGGAGCCAGAGCGCCCCGCAGACGTGGTGTGGTTGAGACACAGATGTGGGCGCGGCACCGGGGGGTCGGCAGCCACACGGTCAGGATGGTCTGACCCGCCACTGAAGCAGTTGGGTTTGGTCTTCAGGTCTCGAGGTCACATCCAGGCTCTGTTAGCCAAGATGACGAGATGGGCAGTTTACGAAGATGGCTTTCTTTAAAAGAAAAAAAACAAAAGGAAGACCCTTTTCCCCAGTTATAAAATTAACGCTCTTGAAAATTTGGAAAATACAGAAAAGTATAAAAATGAAAACAGAATGTCCCCATAATTCCATCACCACTCCGTAACTATTAACATTTTGGTGTGGAAAGAGCATTCTTAGTTATTAATTATGCGGACACAGATTCATTAACTGAGCTGGTGTGGATGTTTAAAGCCATTTAACCCAGACGCGCATCGAGGAAGAATCTGGTTCACGGAAGCTCTCTGAGTTGCCAGGAGCTACTTTTGGAGACCGTGCATCCGTCCTGGGTCTCCCTCTCTCCCAGCCGATGTTCCTTCCGCAGCAATACACCTCTCCCTGTTGAGACCCAGGCCTGTGACGCAGGCTGGGAGGGCCGCGGACTAGGCTCGCTGCGGCCAGTTCGCCCGGGGCTGCACGTGACTGACGAGTAGCCCCGGCGCTCCAGAGAAGGCACATCGAGGTTATGTTTCTTTAATTTCGTTTTTAATAAAGATGATAGAATGATTCACTGGAGTAGTCTGTCTTAGCATGTAATTAAATCTCACCTCTCCAAACGCCGCAGGAGCTAAATGTTTTCGCGAAAGCCTCTAGTAAAAATAACAATTTTCTGATCCAGTCTCTGAAATGTGACAGTGACTGACTAAAAGAGATATAAAATAGTGATTTTTGAAGGTCATTTTATAAAATTAATGTGTTCTTACTAGTAGTCACAGTAGTGTGGAATGCAGAATAATTTCTAGAAACATTTGTAAACTGGATGAAAGTGGATGTAAAACGTTAGAGTTCTGGTGAGCTGAATAATGGCAGGTTTTAAAAACATGCTGTTTATAATATTTTACAGAATTAACATGAGACAGTGTTCAGAATTCTTAACAACCATAACCCTCAATTTATAATAAATTGTCCAGGAAAAAAATTTACTTCGTTAAATGATTACCTTAGAATTAATTAACACACCTTTACCTTTCTTGTTTCTTTTGTCTTTTAGATCTAAAACTTTATTTTTTAGAAATTATTTTTGGTAGTAACTGCCCTTAGAGAAGGATAGAACAGTGGGAAAATGCAGATAGGCCTGGGTTTAGACAGATCTGGGTTTTAAAAGCCAGCTTTTCTGATGATTAGCTGTAATTTTTGTAAGTTTGTTTCCTGATCTATACAATGGGTCTAATGATTCCGACTTCACATGGTGGTCATCAAGATTAGGAATGTTTACAAAGCGCTTAGCAAAGTTCCTGGCACATAGTAGGCAGGCAATAAATGGTAGCTGTTTTTGTTCCAGTGGAAGCCTCTTTTCCAACATGAGCCATTTGATCTGGAGTCGACTTCATTACTTATGCAAGCATAAGAATTATTCCTTTTATGCTTGCCTTATTTCCTTTTATGTTTGCCTTATTTCCTTTTGTGTTAAGTAATTACGTTTTTCCCTGAGCTTACAAAGAACTATTTTTATCTTTTTATTTTATTCATTTCATAATTAGTATTTATCTATTAATGACTAAGGAGTTCCTTAATGATTTTGATTCTGCTATTTAAACATTTTAAAACATGACAGTTGTAAGATGGGATGATGTACTACTTCTTTTTTTCCCTATCACTTTTGTTGAAATAATCCTCCATTTTTTTGGAGTGTGGATGTAAGTTTTTTTATTCATTTGGTGATGAGGCAAAAAAAAAAAAGATGTCTATAAAACTATCATGATAGGAATGAAAGTTTTTGTTATGCTAAGCAAATAGCGAAAAGCTTATCTATTTTCCCCACTAATACCCTTAAGTTTATTTCATTTAAGTAGATCGAGCAGAATTGTTACGATGTTAGAGTGTATTTTAATGATAGCCCTACGTGGATTGAAATGTGTGTGTACCCCTCTGTCAGGTGTCGTCTGATGACAGGAGTACCCTGTGGGCTCTGCTCACCTTCTACGGGGGAGCGTGTCAGCTACAGCTGGACAGGAAATGCACGCATCTGGTCGTTCCAGAACCGAAGGGGGTAAGTGCTTCACATTCGTCTTCCTTGTCCGTATTTCCAGCAGTCACATGTTGTTGCGTTTCTCTTAAATTAGTGATTAGATTCCATGTACAAAAGCTGGTTCTCTCAGTTTGTATTCTTTAGACCCGGCTTCGTCCCACAGAGGATGTGCGAGGGTTATCAGTCCAATGCTGAGCCAGATGTCACCTCTAAATACAGAGAAACGTGGGTTTATTTCATGGAGAAAATGGGAAAATTTTTCGAATCCCTTGAGTTTCCTTTCAAATCCAGTCAACCTTCAGTTCATTTTTATTTGTGAAAATATGTAATTTTAGTCTTTGTGCTTCACAGTGTTTAAAAAGGCCTCGTACTGAGGATAACTTTGTAAACCTGTATTTGGTGACGTTTTCAAGTCTGTTTCCTTTTTAATAATCTAGAATATATAAAAACATTTATCTTGATAGTACAGGGTTCCTGTGTCTCACCCCTGGTGAGGTCACAGACTTTTGGTTCTCCAAGTGGGGCCCCGGGTCAGCAGCATCAGCCTGTCCTGTGGATTGTTAGAAATGCAGACTGTACGCCTGCCCGAGGGCGCGTGGGGAGCCCAGTCACCTGTCTCAGGCTCTCCCAGTGATTCTGATGCACACGAGAGTTTGAGAACCACCGCTCTCTGGAAGCCAAACTCTGGTCCTCCCGTGAACAGTTACTTATAACTTTGAGAGGCAAGACCAGTGTATTCATGCCGAGTCAACCTTCCACATATTGGTATCCCCTCCATTTTTCCTTACTTCAGTCTCAATCAGCGCTGTCCTCCTGTTTTCCACGCGGGTGAGCTGCCGTGGGAGGAGCGAGGTGTGTGCAGTACGAGGCCAGGGCGCCGCCACCCGGTGCACGGCTCGGGGCTGATACACTCCTGCCCTGCCGGGCAGACCCCTTTCACAGGGACTTTGAGACTGAGCGGGGCCGATCCACAGGCGTGTGCCATGCACCACCCTGGTTGCCTGACAGCAAATTTTGAGCCAGTGGGTGTGGTGGTTAACGTAGTAAGCCACACAAACCAAGAAGACTCGTCTTCTGTGAAAATTTAAGATTTGAATCTTAAAATCTATTTGAGTAAAAAATTAGATTTTGCATAACAGTTTAAGAAATATAGTATGCTTTGGTTATACTGTTTTATATTAAATTTTATAATTTATGGCTAAAAGTAAATCATTTGATTTTAGGTGGTAGTTTGAAAGGAAACAAAGTCTTTATAGCTTTTGTAGGGATGAGCAATACTTCTGAAGAGCCAGATGATAACTTAAGAGGCAGGATATGAGTGGGGTGGGTTTATCAAACAGACCAGCTGATTGCACACAAAAATCAATGGCATCTCTTTAAATCTTTTTTTTTTTAATGAACAAAGAAATGTTTAAATGTCATAGTGAAACTACCTTTCGTACTCTTGGATTTTTAAAAATGCTCAGTTAAGTGGAGAAGAACGGAGGGATTTAGTAAAATCCACAGGACAAAGTATGCTCATTCGATCCTGGCCGCTGCAGGCTTCTGCGTGTAAGCGCACCCGCCGGGGTGGCACCGCGCCGGCCCCCGCCCCCACCGACCCCAGCAGCCTCACTGCTGGCGCCTGGGTCCGCGACATTGAATAACTTGTAACCTTGAGGATTCAAGAATTAGAATGACGGAGCTGGTAAATTAGCCCTGGCAAAGGCATTCGACAGTGCTTTACTCTTGGGTCGCCTTGGTTTAAGCAGTAACTGTCCTTCGCTGACAAAAACTACTCATTGGTGAGAAGGGAGAGAAAAACCCAAGTGAAATATACCGTGTCTGACTTGAGTGTTGTGCGTGGGTTTGTATAGGAAGCAGGCAGGTCATTCCCGATGTGCTCAGGGCCCACACTCTGTGCAGACGAAGAACCCAGGGCTACCGACGTGGATCCCAGCGCTAAGCCAGATGTTTCTCTCTGATGTCCAATATGCTCAGCAACTGCACTTCATGGCAGTGGTTTTATTTTTGCTACTTGTTAACAGAATATAAAAAATTTATTTCCTATTACTTCAACAAACATCTTTCTACCTTGGAAAATGGAATATATAAACTGTTATTAGGTCATCTTGTATATTTGTATTACTTATGTAGTTTATAAATGCTTTGGTATATATCCGGACTTGATGTTCTTTTGGGACAGGTAGTCAAGAAATTAAGTCTCTAGTCTGCTATAAAGACTTAGTCATCTCTATTTACTGTGGGAGGATTGATTTAACATTTCATACTTAAATATTTCAGAATGATTTTTAGAATAAAGAATACCAAGTTTTTTAATCTTTGTTAATGTTTATGTTAATTCCCATTGGCACACGGTGCTGTGTTAGTTCCAGGTGCACGGTACCGTGATCACTTGCCCACGTTGCCCGGCGCAGGTGAGCACGTGGCCGTCTTCATGGGCATCTGCACACGAGTGTACAAACGCTTCTATCTTAATGAAAGATGTTACGGTTGATACATGCCGTAGTTTTATTGAGTTAAGCATTTAGCTGTCCCCACATGCTTCAACACATATGTTTAAGGTAAGTTTAAGATACACTTGTATCTTTCTTTTAAAAAAGATTTTATTTGTCAGAGAGAGAGAGAGAGACAAAGAGCAAGCACAAGCAGGGGGAGCGGCAGGCAGAGGGAGAAGCAGGCTCCCCACTGAGCAAGGAGCCCGATGTGGGACTCGATCCCAGGACTCTGGGATCATGACCTGAGCTGAAGGCAGATGCTTCACCGACTGAGCCACCCAGGTGTCCCAAGATACACTTGTATCTTAATACGAAAACCTGTCACTTCAGTCATGGTGTAAACACAGTGTAGTTTCAAGGAGTTAAACGTGCGGGGTGGGGGGTGAGGGTGAATCGACACAGTCCTATGGAGTTGGTGGCCTGGCCCTTTTGGAGGGGGATGTAGTTACAGATAATGAAGCCTTAAAGTACTTTGCATCTTTTCATTCGAGAACCTGGGAATTCAGCTTACACAAACAATTTAGGATATGTGTGTTGAGATTTAACTGCAGTTTTTCATAGCAGCAAAACACTGTAAAGAGTAGAAACAACTGGAGTAACTAAGTGGCGCTGGAGGTGACTGAGCAGTAGCCCGCGACACTGGCGGCTGCCTGAGCGTACAGCTGGGCAGCACAGCGGCGGGCTTGGGGTGACACGTACAAGCCGTGGTGTGAGATGGCCTGATAGCGAGCGTGGAGGCCCTGAGGGTGGAGGTTTATCAGTTAGAGGTGTGTGAACAGTGTCATGGAGGAGCCAGGCCAAGCAGGAGTTCCGAAGGTCACTGGAGCTGAGTGACGGGTGCAGGGATTTATCATGGCTGTCTCCACTCTCAGCTTTGTTTGAAAACGTACATTAAGAAGTTAAAAGCCAAGTGCCAATGTGGAAGTGCACATATGGACGTGGGAGGTTGTTCGTAAGACATTCAGTGAAAACACATCATAAAGTATCTGTACGCTGCGACAGAAGGGTGCCTCTCTCAGTGTGTATGTATATACGTATATGTTCATAACAAAAATAATCACAGTGGTGATCGCTTATCGTGGGGTCGTGATTATACGTTTTCTTTTTGCTTCACTTGTTATTTGTGTGCTCTCCCATGACCAGGTGTTCTTTGTGTTTTAAAAAGGTTTAAAGTAGAATATCCTCAGCAGTAACAAAGTGAAATCCCGTAGATGTGGGTGGTCTCCTTCCTTCCTGGGAGGCAGATCCCAGCCGTGCGGTGCTGCTGTCGGCCTCGCCACACTGAGAGCGTCGTCTGTCCGGCACCTGCACCTCGGGGCAGCCCTGTGACTGTCACCCTTGCCCCGACTGTAAGCAGCAAGTGCCACCTTCGGTCCCCTCGACAGGAAACGGATTTTAGTGTAGGGCCCTAATGACGTGTTTGCCGGAGAACTGCTGTTATCCTGGGCTGTGGGAGCAGGGCCGTGAGATTCTGTTAGTAAAGCGAGCCACGGTTACCAGCTCATGGATTTTAGAGCCCCTGCATCCTATTACCCTTGCTTCCTTTTTTTTTTTTTTTTTAAAGATTATATTTATTTGACAGAGAGAGACACAGCAAGAGAGGGAACACAAGCAGGGGGAGTGGGAGAGGGAGAAGCAGGCTTCCTGCAGAGCAGGGAGCCTGGTGTGGGGCTTGATCCCAGGACCCTGAGATCATGACCTGAGCTGAAGGCAGACGCTTAACTGAGCCACCCAGGCACCTGTACTTTTTTTTTTTTAAGATTTTATTTATTTGTAGAGAGAGGGAGAGAGGGTGAGTACAAGCAGGGGGAGCAGCAGGCAGAGGGAGAAGCAGGCTTCCCGCCGGGCAGGGAGCCCGATGTGGGGCTCGATCTCAGGACCCTGGGACCATGACCTTAGCCGAAGGCAGACGCTTAACGACTGAGCCACCCAGGCGCCCCCCCTTGCTTCCTATTTCCCGTTTCTTTCTTTCTTCCTTTGGGATTTGTTCTGTTCTACACCTTTACCTGCAGGAGAGAGAGCCCCTGCCTGTGACCCACTTTTCCCGGGACTGGACGCTTTGCTCAGTAACACCCCCACCAGGCCTCACTGTGCAGTGCGGCTTTCCCTGAGCCACGCGGCTCACCCGGTGGAGCCCTTCTCTAGTCTTATTCCCACATCACTCAGCCGTGGCTTCACATCATATTCTCGCTGGCCTTTGCTTTCTCTCCAAAGCTAAGTGTAAATCTCATTAGGTCAGAGATGTGTTGTGTCCCTTGTGTCCGTGTGGAGTGAGCTCAATAAACTCTAGATGCCTCAGTAGGAAAGCCTCCCCATGAAAAGTCGTCCACCCTCCCGTGACTGTGTCTGATGTCCTGAAGGAGCTCTGCCCTGCAGGTACAGCTTTGTAAAGTTGTCAAATAAAAACTAGACGAGGTGGCAACTATTTTCATTGTAAGAGAATTTTCCATGGGATTGCTAGCTCTACTTTTTCCTAAAATACCATATTTTATAAAAGTTCATTTTAAACAAAATCTTCTACAACTACTATTGCAGGGATGAGGCCGGCCTGAGATCGTAGATCTGTGGTTCATTTTGGCTCTAGTCCTGCGTCTGAAAGGAGTTTAAGCTTTTCTGTGAATGAAATGACAGTTACAGGTGCTGAACATTTCAGCCATGTGCCTGTCCTAAAGTTCTGTTTTTAAATTCACACTTCTGGGGAATTTGATAAAACTTACAGCTTTGTTTGTATGTGTTTGTGCTTTGCTTGTAGGAGAAATATGAATGTGCGTTAAAGAGAGCAAGCATTAAAATCGTGACCCCTGACTGGATCCTGGATTGTGTATCTGAAAAAACCAAAAAGGATGAAGCATTTTATCATCCTCGACTTATTGTTTATGAAGAGGAAGAGGAGGAGGAAGAAGAGGAGGAGGAGGAGGTAGAAAATGAGGAACAGGAGTCCCCAAATGAGGGTAGTTCAGATGGAAAATCAAGCCCTGCCAGTTCTCAAGAAGGATCTCCTTCAGGGGACCAGCAGTTCTCACCCAAATCCAACACTGAGAAATCCAAAGGGGAGTTGATGTTTGACGACTCTTCGGATTCATCACCCGAAAAACAAGAGAGAAATTTAAACTGGACCCCCGCTGAAGTCCCACAGTTAGCTTCGGCGAAACGCAGACTGCCCGCGGGAAAGGAGCCTGGCCTAATTAACTTGTGTGCCAACGTGCCGCCCGTCCCCGGCAACATCTTACCCCCTGAGGCCCGGGGCAACCTCATGGCTTCGGGACAGAATCTCCAAAGTTCTGACAGATCAGAACTGATCGCTACTTGGAGTCCAGCTGTGCGGACACTGAGGAACATTACTAATAATGCTGATATTCAGCAGATTAGCCGACCGTCAAATGTAGCACACGTAAGTCACTCTTTAAAGAACGGAAGCTTAAAGAACGGATTTTAGAGTTGGGTTTTATAGTCTGTTTCAGTATAGTTGAGTATTTTCTGCTTCTTCAGAACACCTCACTTACAAGCAGTATTTGTGTGAGAGCTTGCTTTACATTTGTGTGTGTGCATAGTTCAGTGTCTCTCAAATTCCAGCAGGATGCCGGTGACTAGAGTGCTTGTCCCTGAAGAAGGGTTACCACTCTTCCTTAACTTAAAGTTAGCAGTGGCAGCAGAGAGAGGCATGATGTTGACCAGGTGCGCCTTATTTGCTTACGACGAACTTCCGGGTAGGGAAATGACATAACATGGATTACTCGTTCATTACGGAAGCCTTCATCTTAGTTGGTAGTTTTATGATTGGAGCTTGTTGATACGGAATGGATTTTAAAAGTTTTAGTAGATAATGTCTTTCAATTTAAAACTAAAAGAAAGTAGTTGAGGTGGTATATCGGCCACTGTGTACATTTCTATAGGTCAAGGAGACAAGGTGGCAAATAGGAAAGACAAGTTTCAGGTGGAGAAGACAGACAAATATGAACAAAAGGGCTTCTGTAGGTCTGGGTGTTTTGAAGACTGTAGTAAGGGGTCGTATAATAGCCGTTGGGGGAAGGAGGCTATTTAGACGAGGTGGTCCGGGAGGGCTTTATGATGGAGGGGGTGTGAATGACAAAGGGGCCATGGGAAGAGCTGGGGGCAGAGAGTTCCAGGCGAAAGGAACAGCAACTGTGAAGACCCAGAAGCAGGCGTGAATTTGCTGTGTTGTAAGGGAAGAAAGAAAAGTGAGACTTGATGTAATGGGGAGAGCTGGAGCGCTTGCAGGGGTCTGTGCCCCCAGCACCTGTAACCGTTCTCCCGAAGGGGCGAGGCCACCTTCTGAACAAGTTGTTGGGGCTCTAGGAAGGGTGACCAAACATGTATTTCTTACCGTAGAGGACAGTGTCACTGTTGAGTATGATGGTGGTGGGGTGGTTTTAAAAAGTCTTTTATTGGAGATGGCATGTTAAAAATACTCTTTTCTTCCTGTCCTCCCTCCCTTGACTTGGCAGTGAGGAACTGATAGTATGTGGTTCTTGAGACTCTGGAAGGTGGTGTCATCCAGAATAAGGTCGAAGAAAAGAAAACACGTTCTTGAGATATCAGAAGGAAGAAAATTAAGATGGCATGAAGCAACGTGTGTAGGGGAAGAGGGGTAATCGGGCTTGAGGAGAATGGAAAATTCTGGAATAGTTGATACAGAGATCCTGGGAAAACAATATTGTTGGACCTGGTTAGGACCCAGTTCAGGTTGGCGACCTAGCTTGGGACATTAGGAAGAGTGAGTAAGATGGTAACCAAGTCAGGAGGGGGTGGAGGGGCAGGGACGATGACGAAGGAAGAGGAAGAGCAGAGGCGGTCAGAGCCTGGTGTAGTTGAATTAGCGATTTTGGATGTCTGCTGGCTTTGCAGATGAAAGGCAGAGGGAGAGCAGGGTTGCACGCCAGTAACCGACAGAAGTCACCTTTTGCCTGACACCTTTGGTTTGGTCCAAATAATTTTTTGAATTTTTTTGCCAAAATCATGAGATTCTTCATAAAAGTGGGATTTTTGGCATTTCTCAAGAAGTGGATGAGCCCGTATTTTGCAGTCTGAATGGTGACAGTGCTTGGTGGCTGAACCGCATTTTCCCCTTTTGCAGTGAGGCGCCTTTGGTGGGCTCACTCTCCACGCCCGTACTTACTACCCCTGTCCCATCGCACTTTCTCTGACTTCCTGGGGCCCAGGAGGTGACTGAGTTTGCATAGAGGACAGTCTGGAGGGTGACTGGGAGTGAGGGCTGAGGAGAAGGTCCCTGAGGTGAGGTGGTCAGAGCACGGCACGACCAGGGTTGTCCAGGTGCTGCCCATGCTCCCATGGGGCCCCCAGAGGGGAGGGGAGAAGACGGAACGCAGAGCGCGGTTGGGGGGTCTGTGGGCAGCGGCACCCCTGCTGAGGAGTGGGTGGCAAAGCCATGAGGTGTGGTCCCAGCACCAGGGGGCTGTCGGGGGAGCAGAGGTGGTGGTCAGAAAGCTCTGGAAGGCCAGGAGCTTGGGGCGGGTGGGAGAAGGCAGCAGGGAGACAGCCTGGAGGCAGTCCGAAACCAGGGAATGATGGTGTCCCTGAGGTGGGAGAGGCTGGGGCGTGCAGGCAGACCTGTCCTGTGCAGATGAAAAGAGACGTGAGGATTCGGTGGGCCGGCATGCTCAGCTGTCTCAGTCTGCAGGCCGCAGCCAGCCCGGGGAGTGCTCGCTTACCGTAACCTCCTGGAGTTGAGGGATCAGGAACGGGGTCAGCCATTCAGACAGGACAGACGTGCTCCCTGCTCTTCATTTGCTGGCTCTGCAGAGAGTGCTGGGGATCGCTGCTGGCCTTTGCTACTGTATTTTGTAGTGTCGCCTTGAGTCCCTCGTTCCCTAAATTAGTATTTGGATATGGAATAATCTCATGTGAGGTGGAGATAAGTGACCACACCAGGGAGTTGGGGCGCACCCTGCAGGAGAGGTGTCAGAAGCCGGCTTGGCGCTCGCCATGTGCTGTGAGGCGGGAAGCAGGGGGGGCCCGGCCCAGCTGCAGGGAGAGCAGCTGTGAAGAGGTTTTCTGAGTTTTCAGCTGTGTAAGAACCTAGGACATTTTGCTGCCACCAGATGTGAAGAAAATGAATTTTTCAAATGTTACAAATGGAAGACAGATTTAGCTTAAAATTAGATCGGGGCTTGGAAGGATATAGCTAACCATCAAAATGTGTTTAAATTGCAGATTTTTAGTGGTTAGGAGCCAAGTTGTTTGTATTGTAATTTTTTATGTATTGGGGCACTCAATAAGTAAGTAATTTAAAGACTATGAAGGAAAAATTCAGACTTGACATTCATTAAAAACTGTTCGCGGTATGGCAAATTATGTGATCACGCAGCTAAGAATCTTCTTTCTTTGATTCCTCGGGACTAACATACGTGTTCAGCCAGAGGCAGATCAGAGGGTTGAGATGCCATCTGATGAGGACAGGAGGTGTCCTGAGAGTCTCTCACTGGCTGGCCTGCCGGGTGCCCGGCTTTCCAGGCCAGTGTCCGTCTCACTGGCCGGTGCTCTTGTCCTGACCTCCATCTGCTCCCAGCTGCCCTGTGCTCACAGCCTGGCTTCCCCCAGCTTCTCAGCTCATGGTCACCACACAGAAGGTGTCCCGGCCCTCCTGGCCTCCTGCAGAGTCCTCCTGGCTGCTCTGAAACGTGAGAGCTGAGAGGGGCAGCCTCGGGCTCCTGGCTGTGGAGAGTACATGAAGGATCTTTGGACCCTCCAGAGCTCCCCTTTCATCTGGGGGTGGGGGCACAGGGGCAGGCAGCACGAGGCAAACGACCGGCTCGACCCTGCTCATTGTGGCAGACAGGTCTTTATTCCTTACTACCAATCAAATTTACATGGGTTGTTACTTCTGAGAGTAAAAAAAAAAAATACATGTACAAAATTTTAAAAATTCAAATGGCATCCAAGGCTATAAAGTGAAAAACTCCCTCCCACCCCTTACTCCTGTTTCCCCTCCAGAAGCAGCCACTGTTCCTGACTCTGCTCTGTGCTTACAGACTCGTGGTTGAGTCACGTAAATACAAGCAGGTGTTTGCCATCCTGCCCCACGTGGTTTTCTCTGGAGGTGTGAGCCTCGCAGTTGCTGTTCTGCCGTCTGGGTGTTGTGCATGCTGAGGTCGATTTCCCTCCACTTCACAGGGTATTTTTTAATACTTTAAAGCATAGGAAGAAATTGTTACCCTGTTATTTTGAATTTGTTAAAGAATTTGTTCTGTTTCGAGCTCCACTGAGGAGTTTTTAAAGTACGCGGAGAACTCCTTACAGAGCTAGAGGTCTTACCCGTGAGGTGGTTGCACGGACAGCTGTACCAAGTGCTCGTATTTGACCTGCTTCAGTTTTAAGCTCCGATGTTTCATCACTAAATCCGGAGTCTGTTAACTTTGCAAATTATATGACCTTTATGTTTTGGAGTCTATTTAAGTGGAAGGTAATATTTTAAGATCCTATTTGAGATTTCCTTATAGCTGTGGCTTACGTTAAGATTAAATTTCTAGAGTTTTATTTAAATGGCAAGTGTGCTTTTAGTGGGGTTAAGTTGTATTTCTTGAGTTTCAGAAAAATCTATTTGATTGTTATAGTTCTCTTTTTTTTTAATATTTATTTGACAGAGATAGCGAGAGCAGGAACCACAAGCAGGGGGAGTGGGAGGGGGAGAAGCAGGCTTCCCGCTGAGCAGGGAGCCCGACGCGGGGCTTGATCCCAGGACCCTGGAATCATGACCTGAGCTGGAGGCAGATGCTTAACGACTGAGCCACCCAGGCGCCCTTGTTACAGTTCTCTTGACCATCAGAAGATGGTTTCCAATTTTTGCTATTTGAGCATACTGGAGTAAAAAATTCATTGTAGAACATTTCTTTGGTTTTATTCAGCACTGTCCAGGATAATAAAGTAACCCGCCATCTGGTACTCCGGCATCTCCTGACTCCCTGTCCTGCCCACTCCCACCCCTCAGCTTGGACAGAGCTCTCCGCTTACTCCTGTCATTGTGAAGCAGAATGAAGTAGAACAGAAACAGTCTGGCTAGTTGGGTTTTTCTCTAGCTCAGAACACTTTTGCTCCATCTAAAGAGCCCCAAGTCCTTTTTGAGGAAGGCTAATTTACCAGCTGTACTGATGATTTCTCAATTGGGGGAACGTTTACCATTTAAACAAACCTGCTGTTGGTGTTTTTTCTCTCCCCTGTTGTTGACAGAGCGTGCCAGTGCACAGGGCAGGGTAACCACAGATGAGGAGGTGCCGGTGGCGTTGGTGGGGTTATCTGCTGTCCATGTCGGGTGCTTTCACTTGGGGGTGGTCTTTATGTTGCCTCTCACTGGGCCGCTTTTGTTGTTGGAAAGGCGCTCGGGTCAGGCTGAGGGCTGCTGGGTCCGCTGACGTTCCCTGGAGCATCCCTGGGTTAGGAGAAGTCTGTGGAGCGTTGTGGAGGGAGGAGGGATCCAGGTGGGGCGCTGTGCACCGCGGCACATTGCATGGTGGCACCGAGACTCACGCTCAGGCCCCCGGGAGTAAGTAGGACACCTTTGTTTTATTTTCCTTTTTTTTTTTTTGCAGCCCTGTCACTCTGGTCTATAGAACACATCAGCCTTGTGAGTTGGTATGTTTGTCAGCTCTAAGTCATTAGCTTATTCCATTTTACTTATTTTCAAGTTTTGGTGGTCTCAGAATAGGAATTCACTTACCTTATTGAAGTTGGTGATGCTTTCATAAATATAAAAGAAAAACGCCCTATTATTTTTGAAGTTGTTTGGTGCCTTCTGTTTCGTTCAACATTAAGGAAATGGAGGAGATGCTCGTATTCTCTCCATGAAGGGAATAGGAGTACATTTCAGTAACGATTGCTAATGACTTTGCCTAATTTTTGTTTTCTAGATCTTACAGTCCCTTTCCGCGCCTACAAAAAACTTAGAGCAGCAGGTGAATCACAGCCAGCAGGGCCACGCAAATGCCAACGCAGTGCTGTTCGGCCAGGTGAAGGTGGCTCCCGAGCCACATGTGCCGCAGCAGCCGCCACAGCCCCCGCCGCCGCCCCCGCCGCCGCCCCCGGTGCTGCACCTTCCCGCCCAGCAGCTCCTGCAGCTCCAGCCGCAGCCACAGATCTCCCAGCAGCCTTATCCCCAGCCGCCGCCGCACGCCTTCCCCCCACAGCCGCTGCCCTTCCCCCAGCAGCCGCTGCACCGGCCCCAGCAGCCCCTGCAGCCCCTGCAGCCCCTGCAGCAGCAGCATGCCCTGCAGCAGCTGCACCAGCTCCAGCAGCAGCAGCTCCAGCAGCACCAGCTGGCCCAGCTCCAGCAGCAGCAGCTCCAGCGCCTGCACCAGCAGCAGCACGTGCAGAGCCAGACGCCGCAGGCCCCGCAGCCCCAGGCGCAGCCCCCGCACCCCCCGCACCAGCCCCCGCAGCCGCACCAGCAGCCCCCGCACCAGCAGCCCCAGCACCAGCTCTTTGGACACGACCCAGCAGTGGAAAGTGAGTCCTGTGGGGTTTGTCTGTCTTTCCCCCAAATGCTGAGAGAGGGGGGCTGAGGGCAGGCTGAGGATTCATCTCAGAGCCTTGCACCCAGCGAAGGACCAGGTTCTAACAATAGAGCAGGTGTACGGTCTGCCACTGGGGACGGCGTCCCCCTCGAAGTGGACGCAGAGTAGTCCGCACCAGGCCTTGACTCGTCGGTTCTGTTTTGTTTTGTTTTTTTTTTAAGATTGTATTTATTTATTTGACAGACACAGTGAGAGAGGGAACACAAGCAGGGGGAGTGGGAGAGGGAGAAGCAGGCTTCCTGACTCCCTGTCCCGATGCGGGGCTCGATCCCAGGACCCTGGGATCATGACCTGAGCCAAAGGCAGATGCTTAATGACTGAGCCACCCAGGCGCCCTAGACTCGTTCGTTCTGTTTTCTAATCATGAATACAGGCATCTGGCTAGTGTATTCCTCGCAGCATTTCCAGTGTGGTACTCCCGCTCTGGCTGGACGTGTCCTGGTCGGGAGTGGTTCAATTCGTAAATTCAGATTGAGCTCAGCAAAATGAACGCTTTATTAGTTTTTGTGCACACATGCTCATATTCACGGGGTTTTACTTTTCTTGTATAAATCTCTGCCAGTTCCGGAAGAAAGCTTCTTACTGGGCTGTGTGTTTGCAATTGCCGATTATCCGGAGCAGATATCTGATAAGCAGCTGCTAGCCACCTGGAAAAGGGTAAGTTTGGCTTGAGGAAGAAAAACTTTGTCCTGAATGCTCCTCCAAATGTGGACTGGACTTGATTCATCTGGCTGCCCTCCCTGACATACGCATATTTATGTTGTGAATGTATATTACGGGCATTTTTATTCACGTTCTCTGTGACCTTGGGCAAACCACTTTTCTGGGCTGGGCTTTGGTGTTTAGCTGTAAGGGGAAAATGTTGGACTGTGTCATTTTTCAGTTTCTTTCAGCTCTTAAATTCTGCGGGGCACAAATTAATTGTATGTATCTGGGGCTGTGAGAGTAACATGAGGGTTTTGGTGCCCTGGACCAGGGACCATCCACTTCGGTTCCTTAGTCGTTTCTGTCTCCAGAGGCAAGTGCTGGGGAATTGTGGCCTCTCCAGCCGCGAAGGGACCTCACAGTCGCTAGTCTGCTGGTGGGGCTGTGGTCCCCGTGTTCATTATTCTGTACGGTGGCCTTTAAAGAAAAGGGGAAGTAAATGCTTTTCCCTTCAGTGCCCCAAATCCAAAGCGATTGAAATTTAAAAGAAAAAAACCAAGTCTAGTAAGTGCGCTTCCAGTACACCTTGGATGGGCTTCCCTCTGGGCGTTCCTGTTGCGTAAGCCCTGTTCTGTGCCGAGCAGGCTGTAAGCTGTAGGGAATATTGGTGAGCGTACAAGGTGGAGAAAACGGTCTCGCTTGGAGAAATAGCTGTCTGTGCAGGGGATGAGGAGGCAGGACGGCAGGTGCAGGGCGAGCCATGACACACAACGTCCCCCTTTGGGTGGGAGGTCTGTGCCCTGGAAAATGGTCTGTGGGAACAGGTGGTTCCTGAACTCGGCCTTAAAGGACAAGGAGGAGTGGGTGTTGGAGGGTGTCCCAGCTAGAGCGGCCAGGTAGACAGGTGGTGCATTTGGGGGTGGGGCCACGGGAAGTCACATATTCCGGTCTGGGCCATCCCTTGTGGACACTGGCGTTTTCTCCCTGTAGCTATTAAAGCACACAGGGAGAGGAGAGATGCACGTGTAAATCATGAAATGTTGAATTAAGGGAGAAGAGGGAAGCGATGCCAGTAACCTGAACTGGGGCAGTGGTCAGAGGGAGGAGGGGGAGAGGCCTGTTTGAGAATTACAGCTGCAGAAAATTATTCAAAAATCACGGAGGTGTTAGGAGGTCCTGCGTAGAAACTGTCCTAAAAAGCAGTAGAATAACTCGAAGATAGAAAAGGTAGAGAAAAGTTTGCTTTCGTTTTGTTAGGTTAAAGCATTAGTCCGGGAGGGCCGGCGTTAAGTAACAGGAGCGGGAGAGCAGGGGTGAGGAGGGCGCCGCGGTCAGCGGGTCAGCGGCCTCACGACCAGGGCCCGGGGCGCCCCGCGTCAGGTGCAGCTCGGGCGGCCGGAGGCAGTTCTGAGGGAAAGTGACTGCGGCCTAGGACGGCGTGTGCGGTCCGTCCGTCCCGTGCCCCGGGGAGGACGGCCTCCTCACACCTCCATGGTCAGCTGTCCCTCCTGCGGTCCCCAGAGCGGCGCTGACGCAGAGATGGGAGAGGGCTTGTCGGGCTGAGGGCGGAGGGATGTGCCGCACAGATGGGACGGTGAGCGGAGCGGGGAGCCGGCCTCCGCTGGGGCAGGAAGAGCGGTCCCCGAGGGGTGGGGGTGGGGGCCGCTCGACGGGCTTTATCGGTGAGGGACACGCTGTGCCATCTGCTGCGGGGGGACAGGTGCCCCCACAGCGTAGTGACTCGCAGCAGCGACGCCTGGCACCCTGGCGTCTCCTCATGGGTGGGACAGCCGGCCGCGGGGTCGTGGGGCTCGGGCTCTCTGTCGCGGTGCGGTCGGCGGGATGACGGGGGCCGCTGGCGCGCTGCGTGGCTGTCGGCAGGAGGCCTCCGGGCCTGGCCGCACGGGCCCCTCCATAGGGCTGGCGTGGCCCTGGCTCCCCCCGGGGCGTGTGAGCTGAGGCAGAGCAGGGGGGAAGCCTCCGCGTGTCTCCCGAGTGTGTCTTAGAAGCCATACGCGGTCGCTCCGGATCCCGTGGGGCCAGCCCGTACCCAAGCGAGGGGATCAGGCTCACATCCAAAGGGAGGCACATCCGGGGATGTGCGGGCAGTTTTAACCACCGTGGTGTTCTCTGAAGGGTTTGGGAGTGACCTAGGGAAAGGTACGGAGAAAAGAAAGAGAAAGGCGGGAGGGCGGGAGTCCGGCTCTGGACCAGCCTGCGGTGGTAGATGCGGTGGGAGCCCCGGCCGCAGCCTCGGAGGCCGAGCTCGGTGGATTAAATGACACGCGAATGGTGATGTGGCCACCTGAGGAAGGCTGGGGGCAGGGGTGTAGATGCGGGCCAGGTGGGTACGTTAGTCATCACCGGAAGACACGGCAAGAGCGCGGAGTTTGGCTGCTTCAGGGGACTGAGAACCAGTGGCGTGGGAAATGCCGTTTTCATCATGCCTTACTGAACTATGTGCGCGAGCTGCTGGGATAACGACATTTAAAAAGTAGACGAAGCAGAATTGTTTGGCGGGGCACCTCTCTTTTAACAGCCAGTGGAAGTCTGTCTGGTGCACAGTTGTTCGGACTGTGACGCTCGCTGGCCCGCCGCGTTGAACCCCGCAGTCCGACAGAGCAGCTGCTCACCCCCAACTCGGAGTCTCCTGTTAACAGTTTTTGGTATTCACTAACGTCAGCCTTCTTTTTCTTTTTTGCCTTTAGAGAAATGGTTTTTAACCAGGGTGGCTCTGCCCCCCAGGGGCTAAGAATCTGGCCTTGTCTGAAGACCGTTGTTGTTGTCACACCTGGGGGGTACTGTTGGCTTCCGAGGCTGCAGGTCCGGGTGTGACCCGCGTCCCACCAAGCGCGGGGCTGCTCTCCACGGTGCGGCATGAGCTGACCTAAAACAGCCGCTGCGCCAGGTGGGGAAAACCCTGTTTCAGAAAGAGGACGTTCCATTTCTCTGTCTTTCCTTCTGGAAATTCAGATTCAGTGAGCGCTGGAGCTCATTTCCGTTTTATGGGGCTGGGTGGGAAATCCCGTAAATACAGCCAATACACATCGTACATCGTTTGGTGAAATAATGATGGATTTTTTTTATAGCAGTCTAGTTTGAAATTATAATTCTACTCTGTTTTCCTGAGTACTTGAAGCTGGTTACGACTTGGGGTCTTGTGTGTGTCTAGATAATCCAGACGCACGGCGGTGCCGTGGACCCTACGTTCTCCAGCCGGTGCACACATCTCCTGTGTGAGAGTCAGGTCAGCAGTATGTACGCACAGGTGAGTGGGGTCGCCTCAGCTGTGACCGCAACAGGTCTGTCCCTTTTCATGGACCGTCCGAGGCTTCTAGAGACTAGTGTGTTTGGAAAGGACTCCTTGTGCCTCTGAAAGTAGGGACGTACCTTCTTAGTAATTGTCATCGATCTTCGGTGGGATAGGTAAGGCGGTGGAATCCTGGCCTGTCTTTGAGCACGGAGGAAGTGAAGGCGATCCCAGGTAGTGTTAAGGAAAGGACACAGTCCTGTTACTCGATTCAGAGCAGCACGACGGAGTGGGGGCGGAAGCAGGATTTCCTGCTGCTGTGGGGCTGTGTATGCAGGGCTGGATGGAGAGGCTCTAACGCCCTGCAGGGCACTGGCACTCTCGGGGCGTCACCTCATCCGTCCCCTGCAGTCCCTTCTCTCCTAACGATGATGTTATTGGGAGACAGGCCGCTGTCGATAGCTATGTGATGAATGGCCTCCCAGAAACTCCTCTTAAACACTGGAACCATGCACTGGATCCACTTTCCAACTGAAAACATAGAAATGCTTGTGAAGGTTTTTTTTTCTCCTCTGTGGTTAATTTTAGGTGGGCAATTATTCTTTTTCGAACTTGTTCTCTTTGGGGCCCTCTGTGTTCTTAAGGGAAATTTTATTTTGATCATAAACTTTAATCAATCCATGATCAAAGTTACTTTTAAGGTTGTTATAAAATTTGTTGCTTTCGTCCCCTGTTGCATGCTGTTGGTGTGTAGGTAGTCCCATTCTTAGTTGTGTGAAAATCAGCCTGCTTCTGTTGTCATTTGTCACTTGGGTAAATGGAGTGCTCGGTGTCATGCAGTCCCTACGGGGCTTCTGACGACGGTGTCACTGTAGTTACATGACCTGACCGTTTGGTATTTAATCCTGCAGCTACACGCACCCCAGCCCAGCAAACCTGTCATCTTATGTTTGGCAGGCGATCAGGGAAAGGAAGAGGTGTGTCACCGCGCACTGGCTGAACATGGTCCTGAAGAAGAAGAAACTAGTGCCGCCTCACCGTGCCCTCCACTTCCCGGTGGCGTTCCCCCCAGGAGGAAAGCCCTGCTCTCAGCACGTAAGGGACATCCCTTTGCTTCGCGATCCTGCAGCGGCTTCCTCTCCTGCGTGGGCCTCTGAGTCCCTGTCCCCGCATGCTCCCTCCGGCCTAGCTCGACAGGGCCTGGTGGTGCCAGTCCCTCATTTCCTTCATTTCCTGGGTCCCTTAAAACCGTCACGGTTCCCTGCGTGGAGCAGAACTTAACCGAGGCTCTCAAATCTCTGACACTACTTAAAATCCTAAAGTAAACCAGGCATCTTGCACTGGGAGTGGCCCCTGCTGGTGGGACTGTGTCCGTAGTTGTAGGTTCTCTCGCTCCGATAACCTCCAAATTGGGATCAGTGAGGAGAATGATGAGCTGGCCGATTAATTTTTACATGCTTAATAAAAGAGCTTTGTTAAAATGATCTGAACAGTGTCCTGTTAACACAAGAAAGGTTTTCCCATATTTGGCGTCATGGTCGTTGCTCCCCGTCTGATGGCGACACATGTAACCTGTCGACCATGAACAGGAGGCTGGTTTTGACTTTCGTAGGAGGGGCGTTACCGCCTCTGTGCAGAACGCAGGTAAAGAGTGAAAATGCGTGTGTAAGACAGCAAGGCACAGAGAAGCAAGCGTTCACGGGTTAAATGCTGCTGCGTCTGGGCCTTATTTGCTCTCTTTGTGCTTAGATTATTTCTGTGACTGGATTTGTCGACAGTGACAGAGACGACCTGAAGCTAATGGCTTACCTGGCGGGCGCCAAGTACACGGGCTACCTTTGCCGCAGCAACACGGTGCTCGTCTGCAAAGAGTAAGCGTGGCTCCGTGGCCCGGCTGTGGCCCCGGGTGGCCTCCGGGCCACACCGCGCACCACGGGGGCTGGCTCCGCAGGCTGCCTCGTTCTTGGGAGTGTGGGAACCTGGGTCTGTTAGAAGAATGGCAGTGCTGGGTTTGAAACGAGCAGAAGTACCTGTAAAACACGGGGACGAAATTGGATGCGTTAATGAGATCAGAATTAAGTGAGGTGCTGGGAATAAGATAAACTTACTGAACTAGTGGACGACCTGCCGACCCAGCATGAGGGGGGCGTGTCAGCTCTGCCGAGCTGTCCCTGCTAGTTCTGCGGTACCATACTGAAAAGAAATGTTATGTTCAACAGCGTCGACAAGCCTAACATTTTGTAAAATGTGTTTGTTCCCCCCCAAAAAGACCAACTGGTTTAAAGTATGAAAAAGCCAAGGAGTGGAGGATCCCCTGTGTGAACGCGCAGTGGCTTGGCGACATTCTCCTGGGGAACTTCGAGGCGCTGAGGCAGGTCCACTATGGTCGCTACACGGCGTTCAATCTGCAGGAGCCATTTGCCCCGACTCAGCACTTGGTTTTCAGTCTTCTGGGTGAGTGGAGTTTCACGTGCTGCCCGATTTATCGGTGTGAGGCTTCCACGTGCTCCTGCCACCTTTATTTCCCCGAGGCACAGCCGTGGCATTAGCTGTCCCGTCGTTTTTAATTCCTGTCGTTCCCTGTCCCCTTCCCACACTCCCTCCCTTCTGCCCACCCCACGCAGGAGGTCTGTTGGTTCCATGGTCTTGGTCGCCGTCTTAACAGACGCTCACAGATGGAAGGAGCACTCCAAGCGTTGGCGCCTTGTCTCTCCAGCCGATGACTGCTTCTCTAAAACGCCCCCCCCCCCCCCCGTGCCCCGTGCCCGGCTTTCTCTGCTTCAGCTGTAGGCGAGCTCCCCGTCTCCTGCCTTTGCCCTTGTCGGGCCCGGCTGCCCCGCTGCACAGACCCCTGCCCCGGGGTCCGTTACAATACTCAGCTGTGCTGTGTGTGCTCAAGGACGTCCGCTCAGGAAAACAGTCGTTCAGACTCTGCTTTAGTGTGCTCGCTTTTCAGAAGGCTCATTCAGTTTGATTTCCAGACGGTTTTAATCACGGGAAAGCTCTTCAGTTTAAGCCATAGTCTCCGTCCCGGGAACAGATGTGCCCGTCTGCCTTCCATTCTGAAATGAAAGGGTTGTAACGACTCCTCGTCCTTCCCTGAAGCGTTCAGCCCGGCCAGCATGTGGGGGATGTGTGCGGTCCTTCACGCTGGCCTCCCGTCGCCACGGGTGGTGGTGGTTCCCAGACGTGGCTGCCGGCGGCCACAGTGGGCTGCACTGCTGTTTGTCCTAGAGCTCCTCACCTAGAGGAGGCTCGAGCACAGGCCCGGCAGCTGCTCGCTGCTCTCCCCTGCCCTTGTCCTGGAAGGGTTTTTTAGCACAAGCGTGGTTCTTTGATGTATCCTTGATAAATGTCCACAAAGCCACCTGCGTGTCTAAGGTTACCAGCCCCAGAAAAGGGTTTCCCAAGCAGGCTTTTCCACTTAACGCAGTGTATTGTTGTAAAAATAACTTCTTTCTCTCTCTAGATGCTTGGAGAGTCCCGCTGAAAGTGTCGGCGGAGCTGCTGATGGTACGTCCATGGCCTAGTCGCCTAGGCTGTCACTGTCCTGTAATATCGCCGTAGGCATAGATCTGTATCTGTCAGTTACAAACTCTTCAAGTAATTTGTCCACACAGCAAATGAAGGTTGGATCTTCTCACCTGTCACACATGTTCAGCATGCCCTGGGTCCTTTCCCCCCTTAATTGGCGGTATCGTCACTCGTGGGTGCTTCTACGTAGAGGAGCCCCATTGGCTTCCGAGAGCTGTGTGGCTGCTAGGTGGGGTGGGGAAGGGAGTAGGATGTGCGCCTGTGCGCGGGGCGGGAGCCCTGAGAGCGGCCCCAGCAGCTCCGACTCGCCCTGAGCTGCAGGGGACACGGGGAGGGGGGCAGGTTGGAATGCCAGTGACGGTCGGTTAGGAAACAAGGCTGGGCTGCCCTCTGGGTGGGGCCATCGGTCAGGTGCGATGGTAGGACACGAATGGCGTCTCGGGCTGTGTTTCCAGGACACATCTCAGTGACATCACACTGTAGAACTCGCCCCCTGGTCACTGTCTCCGCTGACGTGCCCGCCGCTGTGAGGACAGCCGCGGTTTCCGTGGTGGTGGCAGTTCAAGGTTGGGGGTGACGTGCGTGTTACCATATATACTCTCCTGGGGGTTTTCACTGCTGGACTTCACGTGCACGGACGCTCAGCACGTCCCTGGGAGCTGCGGAGGTGAGGGAGGCTCTGTGTCCCCTAAACAGCTAACCAAGGAGCGTGCTCTTGTCAGGGTTACAAGGAACAGCTCAGCCTGTGTTCTGATTCGTGAGGATCCGCCGTGCTGTTTCCAGATTTAACCTGGAAGCCGAGGATGATCGTCCAGAGTCTGTTCCCTTCATGCTGATGATAACATGGTCACATGGGGTCTTTTCCCCTTAAACTAGTAGTGATGATTTTAAGAAAACACGAGCCGCTCTTGACACATCAGCAAAAGCAGATATGCTTCTAATTCATGTGGATGAAAGCAGCGTTACGGGGGCCTTCGGGATGAAGCTGGGGACGTGGTCCTCAAGAAGGAGCCCTCCCAGGTCCCCGGGGCCCAGACGGCTCCGTGTCAGAGCCACAGCAGCCCCGTCACCCTCATTCGCGTCCCGCTGCGTGTTTCCTGCTGCTGCCGTGTGTGGTGCTGGGGACGCTTGAAGTGCCCGCGGCTGCGAGGGCCGAGGCCGTGTCCTCGTCCGGGTGCACTGAGAGGAGGGGGCTGGCCCCGGGTCTGGCGGGGCGAGCGGGTCTCAGGCGTTTGCCGCGCACACGCGGACTTCTGGGGCTTGTCTGCATACGGCGGCAGTATTTAGGAGATGGAAAGCGGAGGCTTCGGACAGTGAGACAGTGTGTCTTTGGAAGCAGCTCTGGAAAAGCTGCCCCACTCCCGGCAGAGCTGCTCATCTGTGAACCGTCCTAGCCAGAATTCCTACTTGAGGAAGTGTCCGTTTTTAGGGGATGTAACTGCACTGAGGACGTTTTCCAAATTCCAAATTGGGACACAGGACAACACACTGGAAGTGAATCCTGCCGTGCGGTGTTGAGGGTGGAGGACTGCACGTACGGCGGGGGGACGGAGACGCCCTGAGGACCGGGAGGGTTTGGGGAACCTGGAAGGCAGGCCGAGAGTCACACACAGGTTCTCTGGAAAGCCTTCCCGCTCCTGGTGGTGACCTCCTTGTCACTGTCCTGGGCAAATGCTAGTTTCGATGCGGTGGAGAGCACGAATGTTGTAGGAGAGGGTTTGGTTACTTGACACATAAATCTCTTAGAAGCTCCTGTGTTACTTGTGAGATTGTTGAAAGTGAGTGATATTTTAATTACAGGGTGTGAGACTACCTCCCAAACTGAAACAGAATGAAGTGACCAACATCCAGCCTTCTTCCAAAAGAGCCAGGTATGAAGGATCCCCTACATCTGCTGTGGTTGGTTATCGCTTACAGGTCCGTTACCGCTTACTGGTCACAAGTGGGGAAACTTCTGAACATTTTCATAGTAAATAGGATTTGCTTATTACTTCACAACTTTGTTGTGATCTGTCTCATTACTGGACATAAAGGTGGATAGACAAGTATTTTTTTTTATTTAAAAAAAGTTGAATCTTTTTTTTGTTTTTGGGTTTTTTGTTTTGTTTTTTGTTTTTTTAAGCAAAACCTCATCAGAACCTCAGTAAAGCACAGCTGCTGTGGCGGACCAGGTGGGAGGCCTGGCAGGGCTGGCCGCAGCGCACCAGCATGCACAGGACTGTGCCCTCTGGCTGCGCCCCACGGCCCAGGTGGGCAGGGGCCGAGAGCCCTTTGGAAGGACGTGTGGGGTGGCGCTGGTCTCACCTGCTGAAGACCTGGCTGGCCAGTGTGGGTCAGTAATGAAGTTCTGGCTGTCGTTTGATTAGTAAGGTACCCCAGATACAGGATGAACTAGGGAGCTTTCTTGAAAAGCCATTATTTCCAAGCTGCCTGTGGTGAACCACAGTTGATTTGCTTGGGCTGCTCTCTGCAGTCAGCCACCAGTTTCCCCTCGTCTCTCCCCTGCTCTGCATCCTACGCATTCCACCCCCACATCACAGTCTGAGTTATGGAAGTATTCACTAACATCTTAATTATGTGATTATATATATATAAAATTTTCAGTATGGCGAGAGCATGAGCAGTGGGGGTGGGGGGCAGAGGGAGAGAGAGAATCCCAAGCAGACTCCGTGCCCGGTGCAGAGCTTGACGCAGGGCTTGGTCTCACGGCCCTGAGATCAGACCTGAGCTGAAATCAAGAATTGGATGCTTAACCGACTGGGGCACTCAGGTAGGTGCTCCTGTGATTACATAGTTTTAAGATGGTCATCAAAATCCACAAATAAACCTTAAAAAATTACTTTATTTAGATGGTCTCAAATGTAAGCTGAAAATGGAATTTGAAAATTCTAAGGATATGTAAAATACTGATTTAATTTAAAAGGTTATTAAGTCCGATAGCTTGTTTTGAGCCTCTTGTGTAAGAAAGGGCTCAGGGGGCAGAGGGCCTGTGAGAGGCTGCAGCTGCCGGGACACCCCCTCAGTGACTGACGTGGACCCAGAACAGGCCTGTTAGGAACGGTTATCCTGGCAGAACCAGCGAGACGGGGAGTCCACCCAAAGGGTGCCACCTTTTTTTTTTTTAAGCTTCCATTTTTATTTATTTACTTATTTTTATTATGTTAGTCACCATACATTACATCATTAGTTTTTGATGTAGTGTTCCATGATTCATTGTTTGCATATAACACCCAGTGCTCCATGCAGAACGTGCCCTCCTTAATACCCATCACCGGGCTAACCCATCTCCCCACCCCCCTCCCCTCTAGTTTCCCGGAGTCCATAGCCTCTCATGGTTTGTCTCCCCCTCCGATTTTACCCCCCTTGATTCTTCTCCTCCTGCTATCTTCTTCTTTTTTAACATATAATGTATTATTTGTTTCAGAGGTACAGATCTGTGATTGAACAGTCTTACACAATTCACAGCGCTCACCATAGCACATACCCTCCCGAATGTCTGTCACCCAGCCACCCCATCCCTCCCACCCCCCACCACTCCAGCAACCCTCAGTTTGTTTCCTGAGATTAAGAATTCCTCGTATCAGTGAGGTCATATGATACATGTCTTTCTCTGATTGACTGACTTTGCTCAGCATAATACCCTCCAGTTCCATCCACGTCGTTGCAAATGGCAAGATTTCATTCTTTTGCCGCCTTTTTAAAGCCGTTGAAAACATTTGTAATTGGGAGGGGGAGGGGATCAATGGGTTACTTTCCTTGGAGGTGCCATGCATAGTCTTTTGGGGGAGACCGTGTAAGAGGTAGGAAAGAAAGGACAGGTACCTCGCATTCTCCTTGATGGAAAAATCCCCACACACTTAAAGCTCCCGAACAGTTGTTAAAACAATCTTTTGTTTGCTAAAGAACATTTTTATTTTAAGTAAACAGGGCGCCTGGGTGGCTCGGTTGGGCGTCTGCCTTTGGCTCAGGTCATGATCCGGAGTCCTGGGATCGAGTCCCACATCGAGCTCCCGGCTCAGCGGGGAGCCTGCTTCTCCCTCTGACCCTCTCCCCTCTCATGCTGTTTCTCTCTCTTTCTCTCAAATAAATAAATAAAATCGTTAAAAAAAAATTTATATTTTAAGTAAACAAAGTCACCTTTGTGTTTTGTGTATTTTATAGAATTGAAGATATACCACCTCCCACTAAAAAGTTAACACCAGAATTGACCCCTTTTGTGCTTTTCACTGGGTTTGAGCCTGTTCAAGTTCAACAGTATATTAAGGTAAAATTATATTCTACTTTGTATAGGGATATTTAGCACTGCCTTTCTGTATATATTTGCTTTGGGTAGCAGTTAATTAAAATAACATTTAATCAGGAATATCCTAAGAATCTTAACAGAATATACTTACAAAGGAGTTGTAGTAGTTGTAGTAGTTTTTATGGCAATAAGTAGTCATTAAATTGTTAATGATTTTTCACCTTGTTCTGCGCTTTTTATATTTAGTTTTATACTTAGACACCTGCTTTCTTAGTAGGACTCTGGCAGTTAGACCACGACCCATTCTTATAGCCACGTGAACATGAGCAAGCCTGCTCGAAGGCCATCGTCCTAGAAAGCCCCAGCTTAGGGAGTGCGCCGGCTACTCTGCATCCCCCAGTGAAGCCGCAGGCCACCTGGGGGGGCACAGGGGGAGTTGGGCATGTGTGTACTTGGACAGGAAGTGGGACACGACCTCAGATCCACGTTCTGGAGTAACAGCTTCCTGCTGTTGGGCGGCGGGGGTGGGTGGGCTGAAAAGTTCACCTGTGTCGTGTTGGATTCCTACATTGTGCTTTTCACTGTTCTTAAGGAAGAGAAGTCGTAACAAATGCTATTCTAAGATTAGTACAATTTAATTTCTTTACGTTTACAATTGAGTGTAGTCACTGAGGTCTTTCCACGTGTTTGCGTCTTCTCAGTCACTGGGATTCCTTGCTGGGGACTAGGTTGCTGTGCTTCACTAACCCCCGTTTCAGCTGCAGGTCTGAGATGCGCCGCCTGGTTCTCAGGGACTTGATGTGGAGGGCTGTGGCGTCTGTGGACGTGACGGCAGCCGTGCGCACCGGGCCACCGTCAGTGCCGCGCTCATCTCTGCTCTGTGCTCCTCCCTCCAGAAGCTCTACATCCTTGGCGGTGAGGTCGCCGAGTCTGCGCAGAAATGCACACACCTCATCGCCAGCAAAGTGACGCGCACGGTGAAGTTCCTGACGGCCATCTCTGTGGTGAGGCACATCGTGACCCCGGAGTGGCTGGAGGAGTGTTTCAAGTGTCAGAAGTTCATTGGTACGTGCTGGCGTCACTGCCTTAGGGTTTTCGTGCTGAAAACACACCTTTTTTTCCCTTGAGCTTGTCCGTTTTCATCCCAGCAAACATCTAGTTTGCTATTTCACTCCTGACAACTCACCATTAAATTTATAAATTTCTTCCATGTCCCAGCGAGTCAGTGGATAGTTTCGCATTGTACTATGAAAGAGAAAGGTTTCGGTCATTTGGGCAATGTTAGGGGGAAACAAGCTCTCTGCCACTGCTTTGTTTGCTGATATTTTGTTAGGACGTTGGCTGTTTCCATTCGAAAGGCGATTCTCCCGTGCTGTGGTGTCCGTGACGGTCCCGGCCCGGGTTTGATGGCAGGTGCTGTCGGAGGGAGGGGTGTCTGCCTCCCCTTGCCCGCCTCCCGTTGTTCAGAGCCCCAGGAGTGGATTCCTGCTGGGCAGTGGGGAGAGGCTTTCTCTTAGTCAGTGCACCCTGCTACACATAGAGTGAATATAAATTCCAAACAGTTTCTCCACGAAGCTGAATGGCCAAAATTGATTTGAGCCTTTGTTAGCGTAAGGCTAGTGGTGTTGTCTTCCCTGTGTGGGCCTTCCCAGCCCATCGTGACCCCTGCACGTGCATCCTCAGCCCTCACCTGGCCACTGGTCTGGGTGGAGCGGGAGAAAGGAGCTCGGCCCCGTGACGAGCGTCACCGCAATCTGTTTGGTTTCTTGTTTTAGGTTTTTAAGCCCCAACCGCAGTGGTGCTAAGACTTAACTCCCTCCCTTGTGTCCCCCCCTACCCACCCTCATGTGGCAGTGACAGCAGTTACCAACCTCTGGTTAGGGCGTGCGCACACACTCGTGTTTCTCTGCCCTGGATGCTGCCCCCCCCCCCCCATCCCCGCCCCTGGAGCTGTAGGATGATATGGGTCCACCAGACCCCCAGAGACCCTCCTGGTCCCCACTGGCCTCGCACTGTTCTGACCCATGAAGCTAACCATATTTGTCCCTAACAGGGGCAAGTGGTTGTTAATGTTAAATTGAAGCATTTCAGATCCATGTTATTTTCTTGGACACTGGTGTTTAAACCTAATTCGGTCTTTAATGTAAAACAATTAATAAAAAGCATATATATTTTAAAGTTCATGTAGTCTAATATACAGATGAGAAATTACGATCCAGAAAAATAAGTTATCTTCTTACTTATAGCAAAGCTAGAACCAAACTTAAAATTCCATGATTGTATATCCACGTCAATCATAGGAAAGAATCCTTTATATGAAAATCAATAATAAATTCTCAATTACAATAATATAGCCAATTCTTGTTATTCATGGTAATTACATGTTCTACAGAGTAGCCACAGACCCCAAATTCGTGAACACTGAGCCACTGCTCCCAGAGGAAACTCTGGGCTGGGTTCCCCAAGCCCTGGTCACATTTTCATCAGCTAATCGATACCTACCCTCGTAGGCTCTGGAAAACCCTGTTGGCTATGTGCCTCTGTTTAAAGACACTATTAATACCTCTCCTTGCTCCTTCCCACTGACGACCTGGCTGGCTGTAGCCGGCATAGCTGAGCCTGAGTGGAGCCGTCGTAACTCGTGCTTTGTCCCCACGGCACAGCACAGCCTCTTCCCTGGGGGGCACCGCGGCACCACGCTCCATGCTGGGGGCATTTGAAACTACAGAGTCACCAACAAAAAGCATGAAAATGCGAACAAATTAACACTAAGTAGACCACAAAAAGGAAAACTTTATGGTATACAGCTTTGCCTTCTGGGAACAGGTGCATCTGGCAGCTCAGGTTTGGCCCCATTACGAGCGTCTCTGCAAAAAATGCCACCAGTATTGATCTGTGGTTACAAATACATTGTACCAAGTAGGCCAATTCACAAATACAAAATCCACAAATAGGATAACTGTGTTAATACTTAGAAAATTTTTCAATTGAAATTAATTTTTTGTTCTTAAAAGATATTAATGAAATACAAAACCTAACAGTGTAGGCAAAAGAAAAAAGTTGTAGAAACAACTCCCATAAATTTATGTATTAGCTCCCAATTTTGTAGACGAGCTATAAAATTTAGAATATGACGGTCTGTTCCTTCATTGAAATTTGAGTTGCTTTTAATTTATCAACTTTATCAGTTTGTGAAACGTGATTCTTTTATCTGTTTGTGAAGTTTACAGCAATTCTTATTTCACGAAGTTTTGGTTGACTGACTTTCATTTGTATGGCATAACTGTTGATCTCTGAGGGTTAGTGGGTGGTTTAGTCACACTGTAAACATTTCGTGTTTAATAGTAAATATTCAAACATTTCATATTTGATCCCCCAAATATCAGGATTTAAGAGAATTTTTCCAGGTTACAGGAATTGCCTTTTCTAAGTGTCATGTAGTTAGAATCGTAACAGTACATACCCTTTTCAGAGTGGCTTCTTTCACTTAGACGCATCTCTGTTTCCTCCCTGTCTTTTCATGGCTTCGTAGCTCGTTTCTTTGTGGCGCTGAGCGATACTCCATTGTCTGCCTGGACCACAGTTTATCTGTTCACTGACTGAAGGGCATCTTGGCTGCTTCTAAGTTTTGACAGTTATGAATACAGCCGCCGTCATCGTTCTTGTATAGCTTTTGTGTGGATGTAAGTTTTCAACTCCTTTGAGTCTGTACCAAGAGGTGTGATTGCTGGATCATGTGGTAAAAGTATGTGTTTAGTTTGGTAAGAAACCACCATTCTTCCAAGTTCACTGCACCATTTTGCATTCCTGCCAGCAGTGAAGGAGAGTTCCCATTGCTCCACATCCTTGCTTTGCATTTGATGTTATCAGTGTTTTGAGTTTCTGCCATTTTAATGGTTGTGTAGTGGTCATCTCATTTTTGTTTTAATTTGCAGTTCGATGATGACCTAGATCATGGAACATCTTCTCAGGTGCATATTTGCCATCTCTGTGTCTTCTCTGGTGACGTGCTCGCTTCGGCAGCACGTACACTGCATCTTCTCTGGTGACATGTCCAGACTTTTTGCCCATTTTTTAAATTGGGTGGTTTTCTTATGTTGAATGTTACGAGTTCTTTGTGTATTTTGGACAGCAGTCCTTAATCAGTTGTGTCTTTTCCAACTATTTTCTCCCAATCTATGGCTTGTCTTCTCATTCTGTTGACATTGTTCTCCTGGAACACAAATTTTTAATTTTAATGAAGTCCAGCTTATCAATGATTTCTTCCATAGGTCGTGCCTTAGGTGTTGTATCTGAAGTCATTGCCATACTCAGGGTCATCTAGATTTTCTCCTGTGTTCTAGGAGTTTCATAGTTTTATACTTAGGTCTGTGATCCATTTTAATTTTTGTGAAGGATGTAGAGTCTGTCTAGGTTCCTTTTCTTGCATGTGGACATCCAGTGGTTGAAAATACGATCTTTGCTCAGTCGTGTTGCCTTTGTTCCTTTGTTAAAGGCCAGTTTATGTTGTTTATGTGGGTCTGTTTCTGGGCTCTCCACCAATCAGTTCTTTTGCGGGTGCCACGCGGTCTTGATTCCTCAAGCGTCGAGGTGGGCTTGGAAGTCGGGCAGGGGCAGTCTTCCAGCTTTGTTCTTGTCCAACTTCAGTGTTGAGTCGGCTGCTCTGGGTCTTTTGCCCTCCATATCAACTTTAGGATCAGCTTCTTGGTATATGTAAATCTTTTTTTTTTTTTTTTTTGATTTTTTTTTAACATTTTGAGAGAGAGTGCGTGCATGTGAGAGAAAGAGCGCACGTGAGCGCGCACGCATAAGCAGGGGGAGGGGCAGAGGCAGAGGGAGGAGCAGACTCCCCGCTGAGCAGAGAGCCTGATGATGGATGATGCATGGCTTGATCCCAGGACCCTGAGATCGTGACCCGAGCTGAAGGCAGACGCTTAACCGACTGAGCCACCCAGGTGCCCCCAAAACAAAGTATCTTTATATATGTATTAAAAATAAATGATTTGGGGCACCTGGGTGGCTCAGTCGGTTAAGCGTCTGCCTTCAGCTCGGGTCACGATCCTAGGGTCCTGGGATCGGGCCCCGCATCAGGCTCCCTGCTCAGCGGGAAGCCTGCTTCTCCCTCTCCCATTCCCCCTGCTTGTGTTCCCTCTCTTGCTGTCTCTCTGTCAAATAAATAAAATCTTTAAAAAAAAAAATTTTTGTTTTTGCCAAAAGTTGACACTTTTGGATTATTTTCTAAATTTTTCAAAAATATTGACCTTATTTGGGTGATTTGTAGTAATGTCTGAATTTTTGCTTTCACAGTCATTTCTTTCTTTTACCCATCTTTAACATTTTAGTGATTTTTAAACATATTTGGCTTTTGAATTTTAAAATTCTCACTTTATTTGAAACAATCACCAAGTTACCAAGCAGTTGCAAGTATAGTACAAATTGCTGTTTTCTCCTGAACCATAAAAGGTACGTTGCTAAAGTTACGTGCCATCATCCTCGAACACCTTGATGTGTGTTACCTACAGAAAAGGCCATTCTGCCCCATGGCCACAGGACAGCCCTCAGAGTCCGGTCCACGGCCACAGCCTCGTCCTCAGATGGCTCTGTGTCCCAGGGATGTCCCTCAAAGCCAGAGGGTCCGGGTCAGAACCATGCACGGGGTCGCCACGTCTCCTCAGTGTTCCCTTGTTGCTTCGGTTGATTATTTGCTAGAACGTCCCTCTGTCTGGGTGTACCTGCTGCTTCCCCCCGATTGAGTGCAGGACCGCCCCGCTCGGTGCCGGGTCCTCGCCGCACTCCTGCCAGGGCTTGTGCTGTTCTGTTGTGCGGCTCATGGGTCCCTGGGAGCAGGTGACGTCTGCTGGCCTTCTCTGTGCAATATGTCATTTATGGGGAAGGAGTTGAAACTGTGCCAGTATCTGTTCCTTTATTATTTCCTTGTATGGACTCCTTTTTGAGTTTTATTCCATGGGTTATTGTGCTGCCCTTGATGTCCAGTGAGAGAGAGCCACTCAGGCTGGCTTCAGGGTCCCGCAGTCTGTCCCCTTGGTCTTCGAGCACTTCCTGGCTTTTGGCACAAGAAAGTTCTAGGCTCATGTTACGCTCTTCTGCCCTGTGTTTTGTTTTGAGATTGAGCGTGAGAGCGCAGAGCCTAGTGTGGTATCTCCTGTGCAGGGGGGTGTCAGCTGTGGCTGTCCCGAGTCGCTTCTCCGTCAGCAGCACTGGCCGCTGCTCGGTGACCCTCTGGGTCCTGAAAAGGCGCGTCTGCCTCCGCGGTTGCCCCGGAAGCTGCCATTTCAGATATTTCATGTGTGACTGTACTTCCTGTTCATTTTTTACTTCTCCAATTTTCGGACATTATCTTTTTCCACCTAAAACAGGATAGCAGCTTTATCTGATTGATTGGCTAACTGATCTTGTATTTCTAGCACTTGTTCATAATTTCAGTGTCTCTTCACTGATTGGATTGCTCTTGCCCAGAGTCAGCAAACTGGCTCATGAGCTAAGAATGGTGTTTTACATATTTAAAGCCTCATTGCTTCATGAAAAGGATAATTTGGCAGAAACTGTGTGTGGCCTGGCCTGCAAGTCCTAACGTGTGTGATCTTGGCCGCCCACCTGGCCAGCCCCCACTTCACACTTCCCTGTGCCGCACTTTTGGGGACCGTGTCATCAGGTTACCTGGTTATTATTATGAAATGAGGAAGAAATGCTTTTCTGAGCGTGAGACGTTTATAAGAAGCTTAAAACATTTTGTGATCTTTGACTTTTGGTAAATTGGACGTTTCTTAAAATTCTCCTGTGTCCTCAAGATTTGGTGAAACTATTCTTCATAAGTTGCCACCCACTTTCCTATATTTAAAAGGCATCTGTTAGAGCTATACAATGGATTATCAGTTCCTTGAGTCTAATGAGACTTGTGGTCATCACATATACGTTGGATGTGATGCTGGTTCTCAGCTGGTCGCTCTGGGACTGGGGTTCTCCACGCAGGATCTGTGAACTCCCTGAAACCGTGTGGAATGGTGGCGGGGGTGCAGAGGGGAGGTGCGGCAGAAGAGGGTCCCCAGCTCTCAGTCCATTTGTTTTCAAGAGCATATGACCTCAGAAGTTTAAACTACGCTGTGCAGAAGGGAGTCTTTCATCTTGTCTGGCTGTTTTCAGGGGAGAATAGCTGAGATTTCACATTCAGTGGTTTCCCAGGGAAGTGTGAGCCGCGAGTGACGTGCCCCTGACCTGCGGCGGGGAGACCTCCGGGGTGGATCCCGTGCCCGGTACTCTGCAAGTCTGCACTTTTCTGAGAGGGCGACTCTGTTTTCCAGATGAGCAGAACTACCTCCTTCGAGACGCTGAGGCCGAGGTGCTGTTCTCTTTCAGTCTGGAAGAGTCCCTGAAAAGGGCGCACGCCTCCCCACTCTTCAAGGTAAAGGGTAGTCAGCAGTGTCCCCGCAGGTGCCCCACATGGCACAGTCGAAGGGACTGAGTGGGTGGCGCACACTCCTGGCCTCTGGAGGCTGCTGTGCTGGGGAGGCCCAGTGGGCCTCCGGAGCCCTGCTCTTCACGAGTCTGCTAGGGAGACGCTCGACAAAGCACCTGGGTGTTTAGAGTGTATTTATGAATAATCCAATTGGCAAGAGACATTTAGGTTGATTTTTCTGCTTCTCACAAATCTTTGCTACTTCGTGTTCTTCTCATTAAATGCATACTCAGCTGGAGGATGAAGATTCTTGGGAAAATATTAATTGAATGTGTGCCTAAATAATTTAAGACAGGATTTTTAAATATTTGTTTGATAAGATACTTAGAACAACTTTTTTTGTATTGGTCTGTTTTTTACCCTTGTCAGGGAACCAGCTTAGGAATGAGAATGGGAATGTTAAGATGTATCTTACCTAAAATAGTCTGAATTTTCTAAATGTTCTTTTTCTGTGAGTGGTTTAAAAAAAAATAGTATCTTGTGCACTTCAGAGAACAGGCGTTAGAAAGTTACATCTTAGCCATCAGGATCATCTCCTGGTCAGAGCCCAGGGAACACACAGATCTGAAAGAGAGGGGTCTCTTGCTTGACACAGCGAGGCGGATGGAGTAGTGTTCTCACTGACCCCACAGAATCCTTCATGTCTCTTAGGGACAGGAGTTCCAGTTACTTTGACTCATCCCGGGTCTTACCTGACTTGGGAAAATGCTTCAGTTAGCTCAGATCGGCATCCTGGCTTCCTCCAGGCCCACTTCAGGTTGGGGACCTGCAAGGGCTGGGACTTCTGTAATTTCACAGAATTATACATTTGGTCAAAAATCATGGTAGAATTCATGAAAAATTACCCTAAAAATTCAGTTAAAAACGTGCACATATTTTTATTTTTAGGCAAAATATTTTTACATCACACCTGGAATCTGCCCAAGTCTCTCAACCATGAAGGCGATTGTGGAGTGTGCAGGAGGACGAGTGTTGTCTAAACAGCCGTCTTTCCGGAAGCTCGTGGAGCACAAGCAAAATAAGGTGGATAGAAGGAAAACAGGCTGCTGATTCATCACTGTGCCCGATGAGATTCCTTGTTCAGTAACCGATGAACTCATTTTCTTTTCCTTAGAGTTTGTCAGAAATAATTTTAATATCCTGTGAAAATGACCTGCACTTATGTCGAGAATATTTTGCCAGAGGAATAGGTAAGTCAAGTCCCACTGCTCTTGCCCTTGATCGAAGCGCGTGTAGACACAGCACCCCTTGAGCTCGTTTTGTCCCTTTCAGACGTGCACAACGCGGAGTTTGTTCTAACTGGAGTGCTCACACAAACACTGGACTATGACTCATATCCTTTGGAGGCAGCTCCCACGGGTGTCAGGACTGTATGTGTTCTGCAGGTGTGCCCGAGTTAGTGGGTAGTTGTGGACACCGTGCTGTAGCATTTTCTTTTCCAGAGTTACGCCTGTTCTGTACTCCTTTTACTTTCAGAAGGTTAAAAGTTACGTGGGCGTCCTCTCAGGGGCCTTTTTTCCATCTAGAGACAGAAGGGAGACGGATTGATTTGGATTGATTTTTGCCCGGGGAGGATGGGTCGGAGCTGCAGGGCTTGGCAGGTTCAGGGAAGGAGGACTTACCTGGCTGTGGGGTCGGGATGGGCTCCCAGACCGTCAGCCACGACCGTGGCTCTGACCGCAGGGCACGCTCGCCAGGTCCTGCCAGTGCAGGGGGCCTGGTGCCCTCGGGCTGCGTGAGTTGTGTGTGCATGGGCGTTTGTAAGGCTCCCTGGGATTGAAATGGACTGACGGCTTTATGCCGGCAGGGTACTAACGTAACTAGATTTGGGACCCTGTGTGCAGTGTGTGCTTGAAATGGTTTTTCCTCAACAAGCCTACATATAAATTTAACTGATGGCGTCGACACTGCGACTGGAGCCCTGGGACGCCGTCCGGCCGTGCCCGCTGCCGGGCGGAGCAGGCCGCTCCCCTTCAGGTGCCCGTGTTTTCCAGCTGCTCCAGCAGGCAGGCATTTTAAAGCAGGAGAACACAGATAATAAATATACTGCATCTTATTAAGATGTGTAATTTTATTCTGAGGAAACATAAATTATGTTTTGTATTATATGAATTTACGAGCCCACATTAGGTTTTATGATTCATTTGCCAGGTTTTTAAATGTTTTCACAACACTGTTAACTTCGGCTACAAATAAAATGGTGTAAATAAAGACCTTGCTATCTCTAAATTATGGATGTTAAAGATTTGAAATGTTTTGTACTTTATTTTTATTTCTTATACTCTTTTCTTTTATATTGATATCTTGCCCACATTTTAAATAAATGTACTTTTGAACTTAGAATTGAGTGATCCTTTGTTTTTTGCATAATTTATACGACTTACAGTAAACTGGATCACATTTTAAGTAATTTCAAGGCAAAATAGTATCATAAACTCTCAAGCAGAGGGACAGCCGCGGCCCTGCACCCACCAGTCACATCCAGTCACATCCTGCTCCGTTCCACGTCCAGTCCTTCAACACTTCCTGTGGGAGCGCATCAGAGGCCACCGTCCCAGACGTTCAGAGTTGCTCTCACTGCGCCCATCGGGTGTGTTCCTGAAACACTGAATTTGCTTCCGTAACAATTTCTGAAATGTCTTCCCTAGGAACAGTTGGGACCCGCTTGACAATTCCCTAACTGCACGTTCAGTTTAGATCCGGAATACAGCGTAGGTAGTGCACAGGCATTGAAGACATGAACACGGAATAAACTGAATTCCGTGTCGGGAGAGCTCTCAGTGTCCCTATGGGGCTTTGAGGACGGTCCCACACTCAGGACAACCCTTCCTCAGGTGTTCCTCCCAGCTCCGCTGGCGTACAGCTCTTTCTCCAAGTGGAAAGGAAATCACCACACACTTCACAGTTTTAGGTAAGGGCCAGTGTCTTCAAGCGCTTCTGCCCTAACCCTTGACCTTCTGTGGGATTTCCCGGGGAGCCCGCCCCATTACAGCACATTCGCTGAGCCTGAAGTGACTGACCTTCTATTGGCTGCCGGAAGTATTTATCTTGAGCTCTGTAAAGTATGCCTTAAGAGCAGTTGTTCTTAGGTGTACTATATTCTGGCATTTACTTGTATTTTTAACAAATTGTACCTCAAGATGTGTCTGCTTTGAAGCTAATTGTTTTGTACCTAAGCAAACTTAGAAGTACTAACCTGTAGAACTGACCATTTCCTGTCACGCACAACAGATGGAATTAGTGTTGATATGAAATATCTTAGGTTCTGCAAAATCCTGGAAGGGAAGAAGAGTTTCATATCTGAGAACACAGTTTTGATTGCAAAGTATTCAGGATGCTGCCCTACGGCTCACACCCTTGAAGGAAAGTGAAGGCGCGGATGGAGAAAACGGGCCTTCTGTGCAGAGTCTCATGCATCTGTTCAGTCTTCAGTGGAGACAGGGTGTTTGTTTAACCAACATGCAAGTATGACTGATTTAACCTTTCAATTAGTGTTTGTTTTGTTTTTGTTTTTTTTCAAAAGCTGCCAAGAAATAATTCTTAAACACTCCAGGAGCTGTCTGCAGCCAACTGGCTTGCCCAGCTGCTGAGCACGGATTTGGTGGCTCGGGAGTTTCATATGAACGTAGAAGAATAGAGATTTCAAGTAAATGCTTCTTAAAGAAGTTGATTTAAGAAGTTATTTTCTCCTAAGAAAAGGAAGTTATTTTCTTCCTAAGAAAAGGAAGTCTTTCACTTAATCCTGTTGTTTTGTCTGGCTCAAGGTTGTTTAATGGAAATATGACCTACATATGCAATGTAAAAATTCCTAATAGCCACAGTAAAAATTTTAAATTTTTTTAATTTTTATAGTGTAACACCATGTATCTAAAATACTGTTCCAGCTACAGGTCATCAGTATTTTACAAAATTACTGTGATAGTGGGTTTTTTTGTTTTTTTGTTTCTTTAGTGCGGTCTTTACTGTATTTTATTTACACTTAGCACACATCTCAATTCTGACACTGAATTTTCATTAGGAGTATTTTATCTGTATTTAGATTTTATACCACTTACAATTTAAAAAGATTTCTATGCCCAGGTTATTCAAAGCATGAGTGTGTTCTAGGAACAAAATTAGTGTCAGTTAAACTTCATGTTAAATAGGATTAAAAACCCAGCTCACCTGCACGAGGTGCATCTCTGTGCTTGGTGACCAGCTGTGGCCGTCACGTCAGTGGCCATCCGCATGGGCTCGCTGGAAACGCGAGTGCCAGTGAGGAGGTACACAGGCCGTCCAAGTAGCTCCAAGATCACTGCTCTGGGCAGAGTCACCAGAATTCCACTCCCTGCCACAGGTCGCAGAAGGTCTGCTTCCATCTGGGTAGGTGCAAGGTGTCGAGAGGAAAGTGGAAGAAATACTGCGTGTCCTTGCTCTTTTAATCCTGCCAGCATCTGGTGACTGAAGACAGAACAGCTGCGCGGACTGGCCGCACACCACTGGCCTGCGAGCAAACAAGGCTGCTGGAGACGTCCTGCCCGCAGGAGGCCAAAGCCCCTCTAGCCCAAGGGCTCGCACTCCCAGGAAGCCCTCCCACATCCCTGATGTTTGCTGAATCAAAAAGTAAACGTGAAATTAAGGTCTGCATTCGTGGGAAGCTGGGTGCCTCCACATACCCACAGTGACCGTCAGCATCCCGCACACACGTCTGTCCCGTCGGCCGCCGCGCATCCTGCAGGCCCCCATCCCGGTTCTCGACGCGCCCCACAGCAAAGGGCTGCCCCCCCAAGGTGCCCCTCTGCCTCACTGCCCGTCTGCAGCTCACCTCGCTCCGGCGACTCAGCTGCACAAGTGGTCACGTCTGTGCATCCCCGTTACCATCGGGCTCATCTCCTTCCCTCGCAAATCTCCGCGAGGTCTCCAAGACGCCTCCTTGCCTCCAGTCTCTTCCCCTCCCCGCTGCCCTCTGTACATGCTGTCGCATTCCTGCTAAGAGAAGAAAGTCCCCGAGTTGTCATGTTTGAAGTCTTCCCTAAAGCCGTGTCACATGCCCACCCAGCTCCTCATTCCCAGCAGGCACACAGAAGGGCTTCCCGTTCCTCATGTCAGACTATCCTCCCACTCCTGTCCGGCAACCTTCCCCACTCACTCAGACCTGTAAAGCCTTTCCTGGTTCTTGCAGGTTTTTCCGTTGCCTTAGCCTCTGATCCAGTCTACACAAGCAACAAAGAGAAAAACAGGTAAGTTGGATCACACCAAAATTAAAAACCGTTTGTGTATCACCAACGGTGAAAAGGCAGCCCACTGAATAAGAAAAATTATTTGTAAATCCTATACCTGATAAGGAGCTAATATCCAGATAAAGAACTCCTACAACTCTTCACAACAAACCACCTGATTTTTTTTTTTTTAAAGATTTTTATTTATTTATTTGAGACAGAGAGAATGAGAGACAGAGAGCATGAGAGGGAGGAGGGTCAGAGGGAGAAGCAGACTCCCCGCTGAGCAGGGAGCCCGATGCGGGGCTCGATCCCGGGACTCCAGGATCATGACCTGAGCCGAAGGCAGTCGCTTAACCAACTGAGCCACCCAGGCGCCCCAAAACCACCTGATTTTAAAATGAGCAAAGGACTTGAATAGATATTTCTCCAAAGAAGATACATGAATGGCCAGTAAGCATGTGAAAAGATGCTCCACATCACTCATCATCAGGGAAATGCAAATCAAAACCACAATGAGCTACCACCTCACACCCATCCGGATGGCTACTATCCAACAAAAGAAAAACACAAAGATGTGAAGAAATTGGAACCCTCGTGCACTGTTGGTGGGAATGCCACCTGGTGCAGCCATTCTGGAAAACAGTCCGGAGGTTCCTCAAAGTTTAAAACAGAACTACTTATGATCCAACAATTCCACTTCTAGGTATATCCCCAAAAGAATCAAAAGCAGGGTTTTCGTGAGACATTTATACACCCACGTTCACAGGCAGTATTATTCATAGTAACCAAAAGTTGGAGGCAACCCAAGTGTCCATTGACTGATGAATAGATGAGCAAAATGTAGCATATGCACGCAAAATACTATTCAAAATCCTGACGCCCACTATCACAGAGGATCCCGGGGACATCGTGCTGAGTGAGAGAAGACAGTCAAAAAGGGACTCAATACTGTCTGATTCCACTTGTGTGAGGTGGTGGGCATGGGGGACAGGAGAAGGGGAGTGGGAGTGAGTGTGTAATGGGGACAGTCTCAGTTGGGCGACGAAAAGTTCTGGTGGTGGTCCCGCAACACTGCACATGTGCTCAGTAGTACACTGCAAAATACCTAACATGGCAAATTCTACGGGTTTTACCACAATTTTAGAAAATGAAGGCGGAAATGAAGAGCGCTAGTGGGGAGTGAAGGCAGAAGGCCCTCTCGTGGGCTCACCCTCTGGTCTTCCTCAGGCTTTCACTGAACACTTAGAGCGAGTGGTCAGAACCCCTGACCCACGCGGAGAGTTAATCCCAGGCGAACGGATCAGTGTGTGTGGACATGCGTGGACGTGTGTCTGCGGAGCTTTCTGTGGCTCCCATCACATCTGAAAAAGACTGGCTCAGGAAAGATGAAAGATCTACTGCGTTAAAAATAAGACAAACCAAAAACCAGTGGATGGCGAAGCACTTCCAGAATCACAGGATCAGGGTCTGTGCAGAGCTGCCTCCCCAGAAGAGCAATGAGGACAGACGTAAATGGCCCAGACCACGGAAGGCTGGACCCTTCTGCCCCCTGAGCCATGGTGGGTTTTGGTGTGAGGTTCAGAGCGCCAGGGCTTCTGAGTTAGGCCGTCCCTACCGCTTGGGCCAGGATGACCTCCGAGGTCTTCACTGCCGGGCAGGCCGGAGGAGGGGCCTCCTGTTCCTCCTCCCAGTTGCCAGACGATGAAAGGAAGCCCCACCTGGAATGGAACAGGCGCAGGGGCCCGGGAGGGAAGAAGGTCAGGATGCCCAAGACTGGAAAAGCTGTCACCTAAGTACGGGCATGTAGGAGTGTGGCATGTGGACTGCCAAGCCCCCGGGGGGTTGGTAGTCTGTTGGCGCAGTCACTGTCGCGGGTTTTGTTCTCCGAGCTTCCGAGGGAGTGGCGGTGGTCTGCAGCTGCGCCCGCACCGGCCCCCCGCACCCCCGCTCCAGGAAGGGAGGAAACGGGTTCTGAAGTCCACCATGGTGACGGTATCTTCCCCGCTGAGTGAGCAGCACAAGAAATGCTCCCCTGTGGGAGGGTCCCCTGGAAGCAAGCCGCCCGAGGCTGCAGCCTCCGTGGGAGGGGAGCGCAAGGGGCCGCGCAGCCGGAGCGCGGCCCCTGCCAGGTCAGCAGCGCCCCCCACCCGGGGCGGGAGCCGCGGGCAGCGCGAGCCGCACCCCCGCGCCCCGCGGCTCGGGTGGGGCCTTTTAGGACCACAGGCTGCCGCTAGGTCCCGGCTGCGCGCAACACTGCGGGCGGTGAGGCCTCTCGGGCCGGGCTGCGGCGCGCGCCGCTCCCTTCGCGGAGGGGAGGCAGAGACAGGCACCCCCTCGCGGCCCGCTCCTCCTCTGGGGCCCCGCTGGCTGCTGCGCGCGCCGGGCTGCTGCCCTGAGCGCCAGCCCGATGGGCCCGCGCCCCGGCCCGCCCCGGGCGGGCCGACGCAGGCGGAGCGGAGGGGCGGGGCCAGCGCCGCCGAGGCCGAGGCGCAAGTCCGCGGAGACGCGAGGCGCCGCCCCGCCGCGGGAGGGGCCCGGAGGCCCGGCATGGACGCTCCCTCGGACGTTGCAAAGCCTCTCCAACGAAGACTCACCGATCCGCCTTGGGAACGACCAACAGGGGCGCCCTGGCTTTGGCTAGACACGGTGCCCTCAGGAGCCTGCAGGTGCACCACTGCGCGACATCTTGAGCGTGACCTCCCTGATTTGGGACCTAAACTGCAGTCACCAGCTGCACCTCACCGCAACTCAAGCTGAAGGCGGCCCCCTGCCCCGAGACGCGGCGCGCTGCCCGGCCTGGGTCCCCGGAGGGGCAGCATGGCAGCTTCCCGCCAGGTGTGCCAGGATACCGGGGTGCTGGAGATACTGAGGGGTGCGGTTTAGGTTGATACGGACTAACAGCTGTTAACATCTTACTCTAGAACTGTCTGTACCCTTCCTTCCGCACACTGGCCCAAGGAATAGTTTTTATTTTTTCAGATGGGAGTCCACTGCAGCACCTGACACGAGAGAGCCAAGGCTATCGAACGGAGCATGTGGTACCTGCCCAGAGCCGGTCCTTCTAACAATCCCAGTCGTCCTGATTCTTCTGCAGTCAGGATTTATCACTTGGAAACTTTGTTTTGCAAGTGCACGTACAATACTCGGTTTGTATTTCTACCGATTCCTATTTTCAGATTCGCTCTAATATAGAAATTACGTACGATGGTTGCTCATCATCACTGTCATCCGGCATCGTTAGGCAACAGAAAGATGATGATCCCAGTTTTGGATTGTGTGTGATACTTTGATAAAATAAAGTAAATTTTCAACTTTTAACGTTTGTGGGCCCTGCTCCTGGACTCCTGCTCCCGGAAGATATACTTTAACATTTACCGGGATCAAAATGACTTGGCAAAACCTCAGAGCATGGGTTCTATTTCTGTCCTGGGTGCACACTGTACATCTGCTTTGTTAAAAACACAATAAATAAAGAGCATTCCAAACATAAAGAAAAAAACCCTCCCTGGTTCCCATAAGATTCAGGTCATTCATACAGCCTTACACATATAGAAACATAAGTCTGACTTTCTGGAATGTCCCTCCTCAGGATGATTTGTAACTCTAGGTTTAAAAACAACAACAACATATAACCCTGCACCATGTTCCTTCCCCAGGGCACCCTTCTTTGTGAAGACTGTGTGTGTGTCCCCGGCAGTTGTCCTAACTTGGACTCGAATAAGACTCTTCCTTCCTCTTTAAAAATTTAAAAAAGGGTTGTCCTCTCTGCCTCAACATTTCTTAGTGCAGTCGGCAGGATACCTGAGCAACTCACCTGACAATGCCTGGGGGCCGTCTGGAACTCAGCTCGGTACCAGCACGGGCCCTTGGTGCCCCTCCGACTTCTCGCAGGTGTGTTGGTGAAGTCTCCTGATACCCAACCTCCTCACTTTGAATCAACAGTCCTTTTAGTCAAGCTGTTGAGGGTTACCAATAATGTTCTCTAGGTGAGAATCACCAATAGGATTTAGTTCTTTTAATTATAATTAAATTGATAATTATAACTGATGTTATAATATAAGGCTGGAGTAAATTTTCTACCTAAAAATATGAGAGCCTGAACCATTCAGCTTCAAAGAGAAGGAACACTTGCTCCTTCCAGCCAAATGGTGCTTTCAGGTGACCGAAAGCCTAAAGCAAGTGTCTGATGATACTCCTCAGGATGTGTAGTGGTCCCATAGGAATTTCCCATCTCCGAAGGTAATTAGCGATTGGTTCGTCCCCGGGTGCACAAGTACGGATCGATCATCCAGTGCTCCCAGCCCCCTCGGTGGTCTTAGACCTCGCGGGGAGAAACCGAGACACGTAAGAGAGTGCATCACAGCCCTTTGGAAGCGACACAAGCGGCACCCTCTGGATCCACCACACTTAACATCCTTAGATCTTATTCAAGATAAGGCTGAAACTAGAAGGAATGGGGAACCACGCTTCCCAAGCTGCAGAGCTCCCAGAAAACCAACCACCACCTACAGGAATTCCGGCAGGCTCCGTGCACAGCCCCTACGGAGTCTCTGCTTGCAAGCGCTTACCGAAATGGGAGAACCTGCCTAAGGATGGATAACCTGAGTCTCAGACGGCCCGAATGGGGTTCTTTCAACACGTCGGAGTTATTTTTCTGGTATACACAATTAGAAAGCCAGCTGTAAGGCCACGTAACCAGAAACTACAAAGCCATCTTGGTCCAATGAAGCCCCCAGCTTTTGGGAAGGAACGAGCAGCATTCAAAGAGGCACCCTGGGCTTCATTTGGTTTGTTGCTGCAGCTTTTGGTCTCTTTGGACAAAACCAGCTGTGTTCTGACCGGAAAATGGAAAATAATTAATGGATCCATAAATTATAATGCTATCCTGTGACTGGATTTGCTTTAATAAAAGGGAAATATTTGCAAATTGGGTCTTTAATGTCCTCTCCACAAATATTAGTGAAACAATGGCTAAATTTTGTTTGCGTCTTGTATGTGTCCATGTGTAGTGACTGAGATATTTTCTCCACCTTGGGATGACATTGCTCAAATTAATTTGTAAAGGAGCTCTATTTAATTGGTTTAAAGGCGAGCACTCGTAAAAACTCTCTAAGACTCAGAAAGATTAACTCAAATGTTTTTCAAGTTTTTATGATCTGGGATGAAATTCCCTACATTCAGGCTTTTATGTTACTCCGTAATAAAGATGCCTCATGTGAAAGAACCCAACGATGGTCCAGAGAGATAGAGATGGGCAAAAATCTAAGACACCCAACCCCCTTCTCAGTAGTCAGAAAAAATGAGGAAAACAGGCAGACACTGGAAATCCTAAATCCACCTCCCCAAGCACAAGCACTAGAATTGACAGCCAATCTGTCTGCCCCTCTGCCTCCTCCTCCAGAGGGGTGAAAAGCACCCAGAGAGAAGGCCTGTTTTGCAGGAGGGGGACACGGGACACGGAAACGGAGAGATGTTAGTCCCCGCTTGAATCTGCCTCAGCCTCCCCTTCCTCCAGTTCCTGCACAGTCACCACCAGGGCTGCTCACACAGCTGGCCCCATACCATCCTCAGTGCCTCCAGCACCATCTGCTTCTGCTCTTCTACCCTCACTGCCTAGGAGCAAAAAGGACCCAGAGTTGCCAGGCAGGCCACCTCCTTATGAGGTTCAAACTGGAGCACCTCCCAGATCAGCCTGAAGGGGCCCGAGGACTCGCCTGGACTCAAACCACCCACTGAAGATTTCCCCACAGAGGCCCCAGGTAAAACTGACGGGTGGGGCGGGGCGGGGCGGGGACACAAATTGAATGATGTTTCAATGGACACAGGCGCAGCATATTCGGTATTAAAACTAATTCAAGGTTGTTGGTTTAATTAAAAGAGACATGGTTTTGGCTCTATCAACATCAAATATAATACAGGTAATCAGCTTTTATCCTACCTGAGTTTATTAAATTCATCTTGTCACTGTTGCAATCTGTCAGCAAAAAATGACTTAAAACGGTGGTGGATTTCGTTTCATCAAGTTTTCATGGGTAATTGTTAAGAGCAAGTAAATTAAATTTTAAGGAAAAGGTTCAGAAACTTTTAAATAGCTTCCAAAATCTTTGGTAACCTAAAACTTTGAAATTTTGTTAGGTTAAATAACAAATTGGGTTGAATTCATTGAATATCTAAGTTTTTTCCCAAAAAAGATAAAATACTGAAATATCAATTACTAAACATGGGTTTTTCTGCTTTTGGCTTATTACAGAGAATCTAAAGATACTTGGGTCTCCTGATAAACATGTTTTATGCTTTACTGGAAGTTGTACTATGAAAAAATATGTTTCTAGAACACATTAAATATATTCATAAACTTCCCAATCTAAAGATTTCTGGTGTAGTAGTTCATAATTGGTTACTACATTTTCACAGGAGACTATGGTTTCCAAGAGTGAAAATTCTAAATGTAACTGAGACTGCCGGAAATAAGGAAACCAACTCTGTATGTAGCGAAAGTAGAAGATATGTAAGGAAAGTACAAAGAATGAGAATAAATTTTTGTTGAGAGCAAAGAAAGTAATTTTGTCCTAACACAAGACTGGTTATTTGAGAGAAAAAACTTATGACGAAGTCTAAATGCAAAAGGAAGTTGTTGGTTTGTGAAGGGGACTCTTTGGAAAAGAATTTTATATGTGGTCAGGATGACTAAGATTGGAATAAATGAATTTTAAAAATACACTTGTATAGGATATGAGGGGGAAGATGGCAGAGTAGGTGATCCTAGGCTCACTTTGTCCCATGGATACAACTAGAAACACCCACATCACCTGGTTGTGTACACAACCCAGAATATGACCCGAAGACTGGCAGAACAGACTCTCTATGGCTAAATGTAGAGAAGAGATCACGTGGAAGAGAGTAGGAAGGGGAGCCCATAGGAGGGAGGGATGCTGCAGGCATGGAAGGGAGAAGAGCAGACCCCCCCCAGGCACCAGGAACCCATATCCCCGTAACATTTGGCTTTGAAAACCAGAGGGGCCTAACTTCAGGAGTTCTTAATCAATGGGCTTAACACCTGTGACTTTAAAAATCAGTGGATGGGGCCCTGGGAGAGCGAGGAGGGTTATGAGGAAACTGAGTTCTTGCCCTTAAAGAGACAGCACAACAAACAGCCCTACTGAGATAGAGCATACAAGTAGCAGTTTGAAAAACACCTGGTGTATACGAGGAGATTTATTTACTAATCTCAGAGCATGTGCTGGAGGGGCAGCAGGGATCTTTGGGAGAATTCTCTAAGAACAAAAGAACTGGTGGGTGCCACCTCCCTCCCCTGCCCCAGCCTAGATACACAGACACCGCGGGAACCAGCACAGCACAAACACTCTCCACCTAGCTGGCTAACAGTGTGCCCTGTCACCACGCACTTCCGTGGAGCTGCCCCTCCATCCCCGCCTCCGTGAGTTTTCCTGGGCTGATGCAGGTCTACTCCTAAGGACCAGCAACTCTGCTGGGACCACCAGTACCCCATC